GTTTGAGCTAATTAAACAGTTTAATTGGGGTTAAATTATCGTAGCTATACGTGTATGAAATGGGAATTCCGGTTACTCCCTACTCCACATTGACGTTTCGATAAATAAAAAACGCACTACCAATAATTTGAATCTTATTTCTTTTGCATCTTCGCCGCTACGTTTTATCTTCTGTTTCTAGCCTTTAACAGAATAATCGCCGATTGTGCGTGAACTACCCCAAGTTTGTCACAATCTAATGATTTGTTTGAATCACCAGCGGAATACGCTTTGGCTCATTTTCTACCCAAGAATGTGAAGATGTCCCGAGGTATTTCCGTAGTAGAATTCAAGTTCCGGTTTGGGCGCTTAAGAGAAATTTATCCTCAACCTCCTGAGGTTGGTAGAGCGTGTTTTCTACAGGAGCAGGGGCGGTTCTTTTATTCCCTGGTAATTAAGTCTTGTGAGAAACCTGGTTACAAATTGATATTTAATTTATATAAAGAAGATTTCGAAGTTTGAATCTAAAATTTTATAATTATTTGCAAACAGGGGTAGTTCTCTCCACCAACTGTTTGAAATAATAATAATAATTGACTTTATTCCCATACAAAATGATATACATGAGCATTCACTACATGAGTAAAACAAAAAAAATTTCTTTTTAAGATATCTACAGGAAAAAACAAGAGGAGAAAAGAGAAGAAAGAAAGTGAATTTTTTAACATCAAAAAGAAATTTAATAGGGATTCTCTATGCACTAAGCATACAGCCCTGAGTTAAAGTGTAGCTTTAGTGAGTAAGTAGAACCTAAATTCAACTGTTCAGGCAAATCAATAATATTTCATCATTCTTTCTTAGATTTAACATTAGTGGTTACCATAGCCATTATGATATGTATCACTATGGTGGTTACTGATTATTATTAACGATAAAAATGACTATTTTACGTATGTTAAAAAAAGTCGGTGTGTAAACTTTGCCATTAAATAGATTAATTTATAACGGTTATTATTATTTATCACTTTATTGCTTGTACTATGTACTCAAATTTATAACACGTGAATTTTACTATTTATCACTTTGGTATCAATATTGGAACTTCTATTAAACAATATTTAATCATAAGCTTCTAGAGAATTCTAGAGCCAGCACATCATACTTCCTGGAAAGTACATGTTAATATCTTGCAATGTGAATTACGTTCAAAGTTGTAAAATTTGTAATCAAAATGAGTCAAAAACATTGCCGATTTCAAAATACGCGTATGGGGTCAGTTAAAGAGGGTTGAAGAGTGTGTGAGAGATTTGCAGTAAAGAGTAACTAGAACCTTAATTCAAAATTTTGGGTAAATCAGTGCTGTTTGGCAGTATTGCAATGCTTTACCTAGAATTACTGGATTAGGGATAAGGACAGGGAAAACCCAATGAAATTGTTACTATTCTAAAGGAGCCTGGTCAAACAATAGGCATCATATAATCAGCTTACAAACGACTTTAACAATTTATTATTAATATTATTATTATATTTTGTGCATTGCACATGTTACCCCCTCTTATTGCGTTAATAGAACCTCGCGTCATTTACGTTTTTAATTTTTAAAATAAATATCAAAATGCAAAAATATTGAAGAAGTAAATTTTAGAATTTTTATAATACAATTGCAGTGCTTTTAAAGAATAACCCTAAAAACCATAGAAAAGTAATTAGGACTAGACACCAACCACCAGAGGATAATTTAGTGTGGAAGGCACTCTGGCTGTGGCCACATTCCGATGAAGATGGTGTATTGTGTGTTGCCTATTTCAATTCCAGTAAAGGGTATCTCAGAGTCAGTTTACGACAATTTAAACTGTTCCTCCAATTTGTCTGCTATCATTTTTGCTATAGCCTGTGAGCTTGTTGCTCCCGGAGACGGTGCATTTCTGCAATGCAAAATTCTCTTCCCTAATTTGCTGTCGCCCATATCAAAAACAAAGTCATCGACTAAGTTTCCATCTTTATCCAAGGCCTGGGCACGAACACCCGTCGGGCCTCTGGTAATATCGCTTGCGGCAAGATCCGGTACGAACTTTTGTAAATCCTTAACTCTCAACGATGTAAAAATAGACTTGATCATCTCTTCGGTGCCCGCCATTACAAATTTACTTGCCAATTTACGAAAACCAGAATACTGAAGTGCATCCCATAATTCCGAAAGGTTAATATCGAACCAACTAAAATTTTCGGATAAACGATGTAATAGTAATTGTAGTACTAACGTATATCCTTCGCGTTTAAACGCGAGAACTGCATTAGGTCCGAGCCACACACTACCGTCCATTCGGGGAGTGAAATGAACACCTAAAAAGGGAAATCTCGGGTCCGGTACCGGATAAATATTTCCCTTGATGATCGATTGTTTTTCTGGTGTTAGAAGTAGGTACTCTCCACGAAAAGGTACAATTCGTGGATCTCTCGAACAACCCGATAACTCCGCTAAGATATCAGAGTACAAACCACCGCACGTTAGCACGTATTTCGCCTGTAATGTTTCGCCACTCTTGGTTTCAATACATACAGGATAGTCGGCATCGGGTGCTTCGCTAAAACCATTAACCTAAACAGATTAATTACACTTAACCAAGTGCTCGTGTAATTCATACGTGAAAGTTATAAAAAATGTCACCTCCCACACTTTGGAAGTCCTTAGCGTAACTGTTGCAAACGACTATAAAGTCTATAATTCCTGTGTGAGGTGACCATAGTGCTTTAATACCTGTACATTTTGGCTCATATGTCTTTATCTTATCGCCATCAATTATCTCTAAATCTTTTACATTATTCTTCTGGCCACGCTCGTACAGATCTAGTAAATTGGATAGTTCACCTTCATTGGTGGCCACAATGAGTTTACCGACTTTTTTGTACGGAATCTTTCTTTCGTCGCAATAACTATACGTTAACTGTAGTCCTTCGACGCACAATTTGGCTTTTAATGACCCGGGTTTGTAATAAATCCCAGCGTGTATGACACCGCTGTTGTGACCGCTCTGATGCATCGCAAGCTTCGACTCCTTCTCTACGATTGCCATCTTTAAGTGTGGGTGTCGGCATAAACATTCTCGGGCGGATGCGACACCAACTATGCCACCACCGACCACTACAACATCATACTTCGGTATCCTTATAAATTTAGTGTTGAAAAATTATAAACAATTGTTCATTAGGTCCTTACGACTCTTTCGCAGTTGAATATGATGGTTTCCTCATGGAATATGGCACATTTTTCAAGGTTTTTGTCAGATGTTTTGAGAACATTTTCAAAATAATCTGAAGAGGTTAATCACAGGATGAAAACTCAAGGTCGTTACCAATTATGATCGTGAAACATTTTTAAAGTATTCCAATTGCGCGCGCTACAAAATTCAAATGTCACTTGACACTATACGACAGAACATAGAATAGTGATCATTAATGCAGGTGAAACCATAGACATATGTCCATTTGTTTTTCTGCATAATGTTCACACAAAAAGGATTCTGCCTAGGGGTCGTCCCTACGGGGACCACTCACACCTAGGAACCAGGGCCTGTTTAGTGTGCATACCATTGAGTTAGAATAATAAAAAAATAATAAAAGTGGCGTAGTTGTAATCAACACTATAACTTGAAGTACAGTGTAGAAAGAACGTCAAATAAAACATTGAAATTGTGCAAACTTTGTTTAACAATGATTGTTATTATTATGAAGATTGTGAACATTCGGAAATTTAATCGAAGTAATTTACATTGCAAAACTAAACTTTGGAAAAGGTAGTTCACCGACTAAAAACAGAAATAGGCCGGGAAAAAAAGAACTTACCAAGAAAAAAATCAGCCAACAAATTAATTGAGTGGCAAAATTAATTGTTTGTAATGATGAATGTGTAACAAAATTATAACAACAATATTAACAAAGTATGGGCCCTCGTTCGGGATTTCCCAGCCTATAGTTGCTAGTCTCAGCAATGAATGTCGTAATAACTCATTTGGTTACAGTTTCTTACCACCCCTGTACCCCTTCACAGGGAAAATCTTAGTTTATAAACAATAAGTCATTACGCATACAGACATCAAATAATTCGATCATTTCCGCATGTTTATAAGAATGATCAAAATTTATATGAATATTAATTCTGGTCAGGACCACGTAATCAAAACACAAACATAAATTAAGTAAACATTACAACAAAGACGTAACGATTTCTAACAAGAGGTTAACGGTATAAAATACGTAATTCAGCATTAAGGTTAAATCAAGTCAATTTCAAAAACAAAGATTAAAAACCGCAAAAAAATTTCTGTGGCTAACACAGATGCCACTCACACACTTGCGCATGTGCGTTCTACGTTCTTTTAGGTCTAACTAATGTGTCTACCAAATTTAGTTCCAATCGGTTAAGCCGTTTAGTCAGAAATGAGAGTACAGACAGACCGACATCATTGGTATTTTGTCCGATTAGGATTCCTGGTGCTTCAAAACGTGTATTTTCGTAAAACAAGGTGAGGGGTCATTTTTTACCCTGATGCAACACCTCCCTTATTAACGCGCGGGTGGTAAAAAATAAAATGCTTTATACAAAACACAAAATACATTATAAAGAAATGCAAAAATTACTATCTGCATTAAATAATACAAAAGTATAACAACCAACAAATATTTGTGAAGCGACGCTTTCGTGAGATCGCCATTAAAAACAAGATGCAAAATCGTATTCAACGTTCGTGCTCTCCGGATGGCGCAGAGGCAGCGTACATAGCAGAACCTCTCAGAGTGATTAAATTTTCCTTTTACTGGGCGGTATTCTATACCCCCCCCCCCCCGCCGTTTCTATGGCGTTTTATCGAAAACTGGAATGAGAGTCACGTCGGGGAGAGGGTTTTGGTTTTTCCAATACCGGGGGGGTCTGGGGAGTATGGAATACCCCCACAAAGACATTTATATACGATTCATAGTGATATAATAATGATTGTAGGGAAAGGGCATTAAATTTTACTTACGGTTTAGCTTCATCAACTCTGTCTGAACAAAGATGAATCTTGCAGGCAGCAGAAAAACGGGTATCTGGGAGGAGGGACGTCGTTTCTTAGTCACCACTTCAGTCTAGATTCCATCACATGAAACAAAAGTGGTCAAGTTAAAACCTCAGTATAGGTACCGTAAAGCCTAGACAGAGTAAAGGCTTGATGAGGTAAGTCAATTCCTTGACTTTTTTAGACGCTCAATAACAGATGTGTATTAATGCTTAAATGCTCCAGAGGGCATTTTCCGCACAAGTTGACTTACCCCAGACTTTTACTCTGCATATGTTTATGCCGAACACGCCTTCGGCTCGGGTTATAAAGATTCAGATCGATCGAAAATAAGTTCGACCTAGGATTACGCATTTTCACGTAAAAGCGGTAGCTTTGAAGGCAGTGCCTAGCGAGCCGAAGGGGAGTTTGGCACAAACCTAGGCAGAATAAAGCTCTGATAGCGTCAATTTAAATTGCTTTTAGATCGCTGGGTATTAATACAGTTCTACTATTAAACTTCAAAAACCCGTTAATTAAAAAGAAAAAACTTACCCTTTAGCTTCATCAACTCGGCGTGGACAAAGAAGAATCTTACAGTTAACTGAAAAACTGGCATGTGGGGGGCACGACGCCATTTCCTAGTCACCATTTGAGTCGAAATTCCATCACATGAAACAACAGTGCTCAATTTTAAACTTAAGCGCAGCCTTTGGTGATCTAAGTGACTCACCTTTTTTTTTAATCTGTTAAGCTGATCTTCCTCTGATAATAAATGAGGTATACATCCCGAAAAACAGCCAACTTGAAAATGAAAAAAATGGCTCCAATGCTTCTTGACTCATTCGCAGAGAAGATCTGTTTACTTCATTAAAATGACGTGGCTATGAATTCATAGTCACTGATTAATATGAAGTAAGTGATTTCCTCCACGAAAGAGACAACTTGCAGCCTTTTTCATCGCCAAGATGACAGGCTGAGAGGGTATGGCCACCACTCACTTATTACATGGGAAGATCGGCTAAAAGTTGTTAATGGTGATCCTTTTTTCGCGGTCACTGCACTATTCACTTTCCCCCCACATAATATACAACATGCAAAAAATGGAAAAATCCTACCTTAATAAGGCTGCCCTTCTGGAATCTGAAACCAAAAAACAAATTTGTTAAAAAGTGAAAAAGTCATATTAATTAGAAAGCGAGATAAAAAGTAAAATAAAAGGAGGGTAGGTGTCGCCAATTGTAGGTACATTTCGCAATGATACTTCAATAAAAAAAAAATTTAGCACTTACCCTATAGCCTTAATTATTGATTCGGTCTCGCCCAGAACATGCCATTGACTGAACCGGCGGTAGCTGAATGTGCCATCACGGGGGTCGTCGCTAACGACTGAAAAACAAAAAAAATTGCATTAAAATTTTGAGTAACATTTAAAGGAAAATTTTGAAGTTCTCACAGACGCGGTATTTAAGAAAAGGGTACTTTACCTTTTTTTCGCTTCATCCCCCCCCCCCTCCACACCGTACTTTGGTAAGAGGACAGAAAGAGTACAATGAGAGAAAATTAATTTTTAACCCCCCCCCTCGCTCCCTGATTTCGAAAAAGTCGCACGGGAAAGTTATAGTTTGTACAAACCAATTTATTTAGACGAGACCTTTCATTAGAATACCGTGAAGGGTAGAACACGTGCCCCCCCCCCCCCCATTTCCTAAAGTTTAACTTAGCACCACTAAAGCAATGCGTATGTAAAATCTAAGACCAATTGGTTGTCGTATGTAAAAGCTATGCACGTTTTACTTTCATAAACAGCTTCTCAGGAAATAATTCGTGGGGGGGGGGGCCCTTTTAGATAGCGAAACTTGATGGCCGTCTGGCACACCTTCAAGGTATAAGCTACCTACTGCAAAAAATTCCAGGATTCTAGGACCATCTAGAAGTACCTAGTTCAAAACGGTAGAAGTGGGTCCGGACGGACGGACGGACAAAACGCAAACAATAGCACATAATAATAAAAAAAAAAACACTTACTTCTTAATTTCTTCAACACGGCCTGGGCAGAAATGAAACTTGCACAATGAGCATGTATGAAATGTGGGGATGAAACGCCCCTTAGTCTGCTTCGCCAATAACTGAAAAGTAAAAAAATGCATAAAATTGTTTTCAATTCAATCAATAATGTGGAGGAAGAGATGGACGGACAGAAACAATTTTCTTTGTGTTATGCGTAAAAATAAGAGACGATTATTTTTCTAAATTTCAACTGAGGGCTCTTTCAAGTGGGGAGCAAACGTCCCAAAGACCCAGTTCTTTCCTGGTTATTGGCTATGACCAAAGAGTATTACTCTTTGCTATGACTGTATTTCATGTGAAAAAAGTGAGTTTACGAGCGAAGGGTCCGGCTGGATTTCTTCCCTATTGCCCCACTCCAGCCCGTCCCTGCGTTCATAGACAACCAAGAGGCGCAACATGTGATAAATAGCCTCTCACAAGGCAACTTCTGGTTGCGTTCATGCAATTTGAGGGAGCCCTCCAGGCTACAATCTAATGCGTTTTATGGATCAGCCACTTAATTTATAGAATTCAGGGCAGCACGTGCCCTTGCTCTCTTGAAAGCAATGCTGATCTGTGTGAAAATTCACTTCGATCGCAAGCTCAAACTGTTAGAAAAAACTTAAGCAAATCATGTCGTGACGTCATCATCCCTTATCGCTAGGAATAAGAAGTCGCTTTTTTTGGAGGGTGGGGTGGGGTTACGCAAATAATTGAACAATTTCGCACAAGTACCCCTTCAGACCTAGGCTTGTGCCGAACACGCTTTCGGCTCGCTCGGCACGGGTTATAAAGATTCAGATCGATCGAAATTCGAAAATAAGATCGACCCAGGATTAAAATTGAACGTATAAAAGCGGCAGCTTTGAAGCCAAATATGCCGAGCGAGCCGAAGGGGAGTTTGGCACAAACCTAGGCAGAATAAAGATCTGATGGAGTCAGTCGAAATTGCTTTTGGATCGCTAAAGGAAAAACTTACCCTTTAGCTTCAACAACTCGGCCTGGACAATGAAGAATCTTGCAGATAGCTGAACAATAAGCATGTGGGTTGTGGGAGTGATACGCCTCCTATTAGTCTGCATCACCAATAACTGAAAAGTAAAAGAAAATGCTTTAAATTTGTTTGAATTAAATTATTAATAATATAAAAGGATGGACGGACATTTTTCTTTGCGTTGTGCGAAAGAACAGGGGACGATTGTTTTTCTGAATTTCAGACGCAGAGCAAGGAAACAAAAAGCGTCTCAAAGATGCCTGATTTGGCTATGACTCATGACTGGAGGAGCCGCTCTATAATAATAAACAATCTAATGCGTTTAATGGATCATCCACTTAATTTATAAAATTCAGTGCAGCACGTCCCTTGTTGCCACCCTCCACTACCCTGTAAAAAGTTAGCTACTGCCTTAAAATTCGAATGTAAGTGGAAAAAATTCTGCAAGCTTGATTTTTTGAACACTCATCGTTGGGCGCCATTTTATGAACCATTCGTCAATTAGTAATATTGAATTTTCGGTAAACGTTACAGCGAATTACAGCTATAGGTACAATTCATCACAACTTGTAAACTCACCTCTGCATTACGCCTCTTCATAAAATGAATTTAATTTCACAAAACACAATAAAATGGCACTCTTTGGGACGCACTCGAATTGAAAGCTGCAACTGCCGTTGATGGCGTTGAAACGAAAGGAACCCGTGTTGCCAAATACAGTGGTACCTCATCCGCTATATCGCGATATCAGTTGCATTGAAATCAATGCAAAATCCAATTACTGATCTATGTGAAAATTCACATTGATCGCAAGAATAAACCGTTACAAAAAACGTAGGTAAACAAATCATGTCGTGATGTCATTATCCTTTATCGATATCAATATAAGAAATCGCTTTTTTTGGGGTGTTGGGGTTACGCTAATAATTGAAGAATTGAACATAAAAATCAATTAAACGAATTCATCTACTAGGTGCAGAAAATACGAAATGCTAACTTTGCCTGGGGTGGAGATGGCAAGAAATATGGAATAGATAAGAGGGCCATTTTTGAATAGCTTCATTAATTAACGGAAGATATGAAAATGTACTTACCTTCGTAGAGCCAGTTCCCGATCATGTATGCGATTTCTGGGACAAAATGCGTTTAATTAGAAAACCTTAACGGCAATATGTTGACGTGTATATTAAAAAATCACACTATCCCTAGGTATACGTTCAGCGAACAGCTTTTGAATTTTTAAGATCACGCACGAAGAAAACAGACAGCAGGCCACTCGGAACGTTCCCGACTGAATCGTTTGAGTAGCAACATCGGTAGAGCCGCGCTCCGATTGGCCAGCGAGCGATAAACGCGCACCTGTGGCCCGCTCTTATCTTTACCAGACTTTATTTACGCGAATTTCGAAGAACTTTTAAAAAAATTTTCATTTTATTTTTACGAATGCTGAACAGCGACCGAGGACATTGAGTACCCGTGTCAGGAAAAGCTGTTTTTTTCTCTCCCCTTTATCAAAGAGTACTATGGGCACTTTTCGCCTTTATGCTTAGGTAATGAAAGGATATTTGTGCAAATTATTCGTATTTTTCACCCCTAACGTCCCCGTTTAAAAATTTTACGGCATTTAATCGCATTCAAGAATGTTTAAGAGATTAAAAAATGTTCAAGAAATGTCCTGTAAGTCTTCTAAAAGCTTTGTAATAACCTCCATGTACCTAGTGGCAATGTGCCCCCCATGATTTTCTGAAAGCTTTTGTAGCCCATCAAATTGCTTGTGTGGTCTTGTGAAAGATCTTCAAAAATCCTTAACACCCCTTAAAATTGTTTAGGATTTTTGTTTTACCTTTCGCGGGTCCCTAGAAAGTTTCTAAGAACATTTTAAAGTAGTAGGAATTTTTGAGTAAAATCGAAACAATTTCTGAATTATTTAGCTAAAGACCTCACGTAAACGTTTATTACGAAGGGAACACTTACCTCTGTTAGTTTCATTAAGTCGGCCAGTATCTTCTAGGAAAAATCCTATAGGCTGCTGGAAAACGGGCATGTGGGAGGTGAGACTGAGACGGCACTTCGAGGGAAGGCGAGTTCGGCACAAATCTATGCAGAGTAGAGGTCTAATCGGGTAAATTAATTTATGTCACACTCATCTTAATCCGACTCGCTCAGAATTACGTAGGTAATACATATTGAATGAGCCCCTAATATGTCCATTACATGAAACAAAAGTACTTAATTTCAAACCAGTGGCGGTCGAGTCCAAGGCGAGTTAGGCACAAATTAACTTACCTTTACTTTGCCTAGGACTTCCACGCAAAAGTGACGGTTTTAAAGCCAGCAAGGAGCGAGCCGAAAGCGAATTCAGTACAACTAGGTAGAGTAAGGGTCTGATGGGGTACTAATTAAGTCATAATTTATGTCAAACTCACCTTTGACTTTCTCGGCATTAGTGCATATATTGCATGAGACCAGACCTCTGGTGGTATGTTCGATGGCGTTTTACCTAAAACTGGATTAAGAGTGGTCAGGCAGACGGTTTTGGGGGAAAATGCAACACCGGGGGTATAGAATACCCCCCAGCACACGAAACTTGATTTGTATGAGTATAGGTAGGTACTAAATGATCTCATGGTGTGATAATGATGATTGTAGGGAAAGGGTATTAAATTCTTTTTCTACTAAAAATTAAATTTGTACATCATATAGTCATACAATAGACTTTAAAGTTTCTTAAATTTGGATCTCCATAGGTGCGGTTGTACGCAACTTAACTTTTTTTTTAAGTACACTAAAACAAAGCCCTATTCATTCTCTATGCACTGATAAAAATAGGTTGCCATGACTACAACCGTTTTCAAGTAATCAATTATCAAAGTACCGTCTGCATCCGCCACTTTTTTTCTTAAAATCAAAATAACTTAAAAACCATAAGTGGCAGATATAGACATATGGGTATCAAAAGAATTGAAATTTCACGTAGAATCCAAAAATGCAATAAAAAATAGGGGTTGCTATTTAAAATAACGAAGTTACTATATATCTACTTCCCGTGTTTCCGGAAGTGCGGCCATTTTGGAAATATTTTACATCGATTCGGCCTTCAGAGTAACTCCTAAGTTTCAAAAACCTACCTATTTTACTTTCCCAGAAAAGTTTAACTAAAGCTCACAAAAAAACACCCTGTGTATGTGTTTTATAAATTTTCGAAATGAATTCTTTCTACCGTCAGCCATTTTTCTTAATTGGTTTTAGTTACCATGGATACAATAAACAAAACAAAACCTCCGCATTCATGGCGTATTATTTAAAAACCTTAAAAAATTAGGTTTTTATTTTTCGTTCGTGGATTAAAAAAATTTATAGTGTGATATATCAATCCAATCACTAATCAGGAAAAAGGATGCAAAAAACTAACGTTAAGATATACATGATGTTGCATTTAAAAAATACAAACATTGGCTCAAATCTCAGAAACGGTGCTCCAAAACTATGTCACTAGATTCTTTGCAAAAATAACTAAAATAGACAGTTTTTACCTTTTTCCTATCTTACAAGTTACATGAGTAGGAAGATAATATAACATCACAAAAAGGCCAACTTTTTGTTTCCCCCCTGTATCCCAGAAACAACCGTAGTTTGATTCTGTTTTGTGAAGTTTCACAGAGTCACGAAAACAGCAAATTAAAATCTTTAAAAACATTTGAGATACACTGCAGTCTCAATCAAAATAGGACACGGTCCAGCGTATGTAAAATTCATTTTCTACATTTACATAGATCCATTATTCAGAAAGATATTTGTTGGTACAGGGGTGAGAAACCTGGGATTCCACTACCACATGAGACTTATATGATGCAATAACATAACAAAATGTATGGCCCCTACTAATTTCAAAGTATTATTGTAAATAAGTCTGTTGTTAATGCCAAAACATACGCAAAATATTGGTCTAGTAAAGCTAAAGTAATATTCAAACTAAAGTGTAACAAACATATTTTAATAATCACTGCATAAATGGAACTATAAAACATAAAAAAAAAAACAGAATGTTTAAACATCAGACTTCAAAAGTTGTGGTCCAATTCCAAGCTTTGTTGTTACTTTCAGTTGAGAAATTGCCGCATCTCTCAATGAAAACAGGTGCGTCATTTCATTTTCTGTTCTCGCAAGTCCTATGGCTTTATTGAATAATTCAATTGCAATCACTAAATTGCCCCTGAAAAAAATCGTTAAATACAATTATAGACTTATGGGACTTTACCTCTGCACTTCAATTGTGCCCAACGTTTCATATGCAAATTCGCATTTCTCATCCAGCTGTATGGCGGATGAAATAAGATCAATGGCTTTTTTCATATCGCTTGTCCACTGCAAGGCTAATAATCCTCTGTGTACCAAAATTGTCGCATTATTAGGCTCAATTTCTAAAGCTTTGATAAAGGTTTTTTCTGCTTCCGCATATTCTTGCCGTTCTGTTAAAACTTGCCCGTACAACACAAACACCTCAGAATAGGCACTGAACTGTTTGGTAGCGTTTAGGAAACTAGCCAAGCTGTTTATTAGCATATCCCCATTTTGTGTCAGCATCGCATATCTATAATCGGCATAGCACTTTTGCACTACTGCAATGGCAAATTTGGGATTTAACTCGACCGCCTTATCAAAATCACTTCTGGCTTCTTCCGTATTATCCATCAGCAGATTGATCTGACCTCTATGATGGTATATGTCTACAATATTAGGAATAAAAAAAAGACTTCAGTTCGATCCCACCTTACCTGAATTATTAGGGGCCAGTTCAACTGCTGTTGCAAAATCCTGTAGACATTCGGTTGGTTGTTCAAGTTGCATGCGTAACGATGCACGCTTAATTAGTGTATTCACACGAAGTTTAACATCTGCATCAGCAGCATCAATAACTGTTTTAAAATCGTCAAGCGCCAACTGATGCGACCCGGACAGTAAGTAAAAAGATGCTCGCAAAGACAACGCTTCAAAAATGTAATGTGACTCAGATTCACTAGAATTTATTTCTTCGGTGCATGCCGGAATGATATCCTCAAAGTTCTCTGTGGCAAAAGCAATTTTAGCTTTGAGGAAGCCCGAGGAACTGTCTCCAATTGGTTGCTCCGTATTTAGTAGTAGTTTATAGACCGGGTCTTCGGAGAAAGACATAAAATATGTCTTGATAAACTGTTTCGATGGCAAGATTGGTTTTTTATTCTTCATTGCTTCTGCGGCGTGCTGCTTTCCCAGTTCTTTCAAGACACGATCGGCCAAAATTAAGGCATTTTGATTTTGGAAACTTTGCAACAAGCAAACGGCAGTGATATCGTCGAGACAATTTTCCCAATCCTTAATCGCTTCGTATGCCTTGGCACGACGGAATAAAGCCTTTTCGTATTTTCCGTTATGTTCAAGGGCAACGGTACAGTCGGCAATGACGGAACTCCACTTTTTTAACTGTTCATAGGCCGCCGCTCGATTTTGATAATAAGTCGCCAAATCCAAACGTTGATCTTTAGGGCAAATTTCAATGGCTTTATTGTAAAGGCTGATTGCCTCGTCGTATTTTCCCTTTTTGAATAGCACATTTCCCTCGTTTTTAAATTTCTGTGATAATCGAAACGGCGTTTCCTCCCCCTTTTCGTCATTCGCGACCTTGTCTTCTATTGATAATGACTTAACGTCTTTTAAATTTGGTTTTTGAGCAGAAACGGATTTGGACTGTTGCCTTAGATACCAGTAACCGAGGCCGATTGCTCCCGTTGCCCCCAATGCCAGGGCGATTTGCCATTTTGGGAACGGAGTACTCCCGCCACTATTTACCGATGACATATGGAGCAACTTTTTATTAACCGGTATTTTTTGAAATGTTAAATAAATTCACAGGAACTCTATAAAAAATATAATAAACATTTAAGGTTAGGGCAAGGAACACATGACAACTGAGGTGTGGTCGCGTTCCGTCTCGGATAATGTATAAGGCAAGTCAAAATTTAACGCAACGGTCTTAATTTTCTTTTTCCAAATATCCGCCTACAACATAGATTTTGTTTTCTCCTTTGTATATTGCTTTAGATATCTAATAAAAACAATTTTAATATTATTATATTGTATATAGATAATGCTATTATCAAAACAAATTACACTTACATGGGATCAAGGCAAGTTTAATTTTCTTCAGAAAAACCAATCCATCCCTCTGGATGAAACATTAAAGAAACCTGGTGGTATCAATTGATGGTAAAATAACATGAACATGAATAAATGAAAATTAAAGCTTTAAAAAAAACAAAAAAAAAACACAAAGATTCAGCTTAAAATTCAATTTTATTCAACAATGCATAATATTAATAATTACTCAAGTTTCTTACATCCCTTCTCTTTAAAATTTATTACAGATGTTACAAAAGCTAGCAGCTCTAAATTGCTTGGACACAATTAGACCTCTTTTTTCTAGACACTGTGCAACTGATCTTTACATAAAACCATAGTTATTTACTTAACGGAACCTCTTGCTTTAATTTCTGAATTTTCACTGGCAACAACGTTGTCATTTCTGTACAAATGCTATGCTCCGTTGGAAGAACCTCCTTCACCTCAGGATTCGTTTGGCAGTAGTCCAAGACCTTTTTATAATATTCTAAACTGGCCTGTACGTGTTGCAGATTAATTTCTTTATCAAGTACTATATATCGGCCGTGCAAAGCTCCGTTCGCCATAATGGCTTTTAAGTAAGGTTTCTCGTACTGCTCTGGAATTCTATCGGGAAGGTTTTTTGTCACAACATCCCTAAACGAATCTATGAATTTGTTGTTGTAAACAATTCCCTTATCAATGAAGTTATTAATTTTTGTTAAAGTATTTGGGTTAGGACGTTCTATTGACTCTTTCAGTTTGTCTAACTTGATATACAGTATCTCGCTGTAAGTCTGCGCAAGTTCGAACCATAGCTGTTTGCAGTACTGCATGTAATATGTGGGATTGATTTCGTTCAAAACGTTCTCCATTAAATCAATACGCCGCTTATGCATTTTTGCTTGGTTTTCAGGATTGTCTTCGAAGAATAGTAAGTTTAGGTACAATTGTGCTTGATCTTGCATAATTTCGATGTAGTCAGATGCTAGAGAATTAAGTGTGTAGTAATTGTGTGCTTTTTCCAACCAGGTCTTGGCATTTAAAAATACTTCACGCGCATCTTTAAATGTTAACAAGAACTGATCTGTTATTTGCCGTTCCTGGTCAGACAAGGCTAGTGTCCGGAATTCTAAATTAGCAATATCTTCAGACGACAAAGTCATATTTGTCAAATCAAGTTTGGCCAAATCTGTTGAGAGTGCGCACACCGTGTCGATGTCCTCATGATTCATGAGGCGGTCTCGCGAACTTGAGAGCAATAACAGGCCATATTTCGCCCAACATCTTGCGACATCTGCACTTCTGTGTTTGAAGTTTTCTACCTTTGCATAATACTCGTCGTTTTGAAGGGTGCATTCGTCCAATTCTTTCTTGTAAACGTCGAGAATATACGAACTGGCAGCCAAATGATGACGGGCTTGCTTAAATCCATTTTTTTCCATGAAAAATTGCGACAATGTTGCCGCATTAAGTGCCCAGTCAATATGATCGTAGTCGTTCATTTCTAGTTGTCGCTTTAGAGTTGTGTGACAGTAAATTGCACTTTTGAGTGCGTCACCTAACGTGCCATATATTTGCGCTAGATAGTAGAGTGTTAATGTGTGAGCTTTTTCTAAATTTGTAAAGGCCGTAATCTCATCAGCAACAGGATCAACATGGAATAAGTTATCAAAATCCGTTGGAACTGCCTCAGATTCCTTGAACTGTTTGTATGACTGCTCGCACTTCTCTAGATGAAGCTTGGATTTGGTAGGTTCCCGTTCAGCCCAAAATAGTCCTAGCTCATTCAAAATGTGTAACGTAATAATTACTATTTCAGGCTTTAATTCCTCTTTGTCAATCACATCTACACATTTTTTAAAGAATTTCTCACCAGTTGAGGTTTCTTCCGTTTCGATAGCAATTCGACCTAGGTAAAGAAAAACTGTCGCAAGCATACCTACAAATTGAACATGCAGTCGAAGTCAAAAATGTTATAGGTAATCACCGGTAAGCTTTAAAAACTCCTTTGTTCCAGGTGTTTGAGATCTTAATAAGTTTTCTATGTTAGCTTTCATACCAATCAATAATTGTTTTGCGTTGTACTTGGAAGTATAAGGCTCACTTGTAGAATCTAATTTACTGTCCTCCTCAATCAGCTTCTTTACTTTTTCATATTTTTCTTGCAAATCGGCGTAGCACTCTTTCGTTACGGTCATCTTTAGAATTTTTGAGCTCTGTTAATAAATTTGTAATTGTCCGTTTTTAAGGTTATGTATCTAATAAACCACAGATCTCTCCTACCTTACAAATGTCACTTTCAAACAGTGCTATACAGGGTATGTAAACAATTTTGCCGGGGAAACCAAAACATTTCCAAGTAAACTAAAGTGCAAAATGTTTGATTTGAGAGGTACCAAAAGTCTCAAAACGTTTTCTTCATAACATAGGGAGAATTAACGGATTTCCCAGGTTATTGTACATGTTAATTCCGAGTTTGGAAAAATTTTCCTCCTCTCCTCTAAACGCCAAACTCCCCTATACCCAAGTACACAAGAGCTACGCTGTCGAACTTTTCTTTCCTTTCACTTCAAAAAACACTAATTTTGCAGTTTTTTTTAGCTGAATCCGACAGAATTTTTGTCTCAAAGATATATTTGTAATATCATGGTTACAGAAAAGTCTAAAGATAAAATTAAAAAAGTTCAAATTTTCTACAAAATCATGAATTGGATTTTCCCATAGTCATCCATTCAGTTAGTAAAAATTATTTTTCAAATGACACTAATCCATTTAATTATGAGTAAAACTGGGGTATACATTATCGAGCCCGTTCCCACACTTAATCTGTTCCCTTAGAGCTTACACTTTCCTAGATAAAAGTGAAAAGTTTAATTTCGGAAGGTAACATGCCACCACCGTCACAGAAAAGGTGACATTTTTATAAAGGAAAGTAGGGGGCATGATTGACGTTAAATTGCTTTAAAACGTTTAAAACAGATAGCTAGTATAGTTACAGTCCTAAAGTATTATCATTCGAACTTTGAATCTAGTTTACGTTACAGGTTAATCTTCTGGGGAAAACTGCTCTTATATGAACTGCTTATTTATCCTCCAGAAACGAGTCATTAGATCTCTGTGCGGCGTCCAAAAAATAAGTGAATCATCAAAACCACTATTCAGACAATACAACCTACTAACTGTACCGTGCTTATTTATATTTGAACTACCGTAACTACAGAGTTAATTTTGTTGTAATTACGCGTGTAATTTGTTCGAGCGGCTGGAGAAGTTACAGGAAGATTCTCAGTGCGTTTTTAGCACATTTTTGAAAAAAATACGCTATTATATTCGTTATGGCTGGCAGGCCGGCTGTCCGCGTGAGATCTCAACAACTACAATAGCTAGAGAATTCAAATTTTCACTAAAAGCTTTCTGCCATAGTGTAGATATGCAGGCACTAGTCTATTTTGAGTTAGATTACTTGTGAGATCGATAATTGAAGAAAATAATTTCGATATGGATTTCGGAGGTGCTATAATTTTACCGTTAGATAGCGCTACCAGTATAAAAACTTTAAAGTACTGCAATCCATTGGGCTCGTGGGTTAGAGAGAGAACGCATGATTTTTGCCCAAAAATGGCGGAAGTTACCAGATTCTAGTAACTTTAATGTTAGGAATTGTTCCACCTGTTTGGAGATATCTGTATATATTTTTATAAAACATGACAGCACTATGAAGTTAGGTTATAAAAAATTACAGCTATTCAGATTTTGTCAATTTAATTAAACTTCGCTACTAAAATACTGACCTGCATTACCAAAAATGCGCTTTAGTCATGCATATGCTGATTTACAACTTGTTTAAGGTGGTATTCCATGAAAACAATCATTTTACGATTTTTCTGTACATTCCTGATCATAGTCCGCATGCGGTGGCGGGTTACCTGCGTTGGAGCAACCTACACCACAGCAATTAGCACTTGATATGATTTAGCTCTATGCAGTTATAAAATGGGTATTTGTAGTGAAGTTTTAAAGCACTGCACCTTAAAACCTATTCGAATTCAATGTAAAAATGGCAAGTACGTATTAAAACATATATTAAAGAACATGCGAAAGTTTCTGTATAAATCCGAAAAAGGTAAATTCCCGTACCTATTTGTCTCTAGTCAACTAGTAAAGTAACAGCGTTGCCAAATTTTCACCATCATTGCTTGCCATTAAAGGCTCGATTGGCAACATAGCTAACTATATTAAAAAAAACCACCACCAAAAAAATTTTCCCCAAACAAAAACAAGTCTATAAACATAACCTCAAATCAAATGACAATGTGTGCTGAAAAGTCCAATTATGAAGTTATTGTCCTTTTCACAGGTTATTCTCGGAACACAGAGCAAGGTACACAAGCTAACTGCACTTGTACTCTACTCAAAGGGCCGAAGCTGGTCATTATTGACACTATGACTGCATGGGATGGAGAAATATTGACGAAGGCCTTGCTAAGCAATAATGTTAATTGCAAAGACATCGACTTCGTTATCTGTACTCATGGACATTCCGATCATATCGGATGCAATTACCTTTTTCCCGAAGCAACTCATATCGTCGGAAATTGCATATCTCACAAAAATAATTATTATGCGCATAACTTCTCAGACAGTCCGTACAAAATAGACGAAAACGTACAAATAATACACACACCGGGTCACACTTTACAAGATGTTACAGTATTGGTAGAAAATGAAAATGGTATTACCGCCATTGTTGGAGATCTCTTTGAAAATGAGGATGATTTAGTGGACGATACTATTTGGAAAAATGCAGGCAGCGACTCTCAAGAGCTGCAATTTCAGAATCGAGACAAAATATTGGAAATTGCAGATTGGATCGTTCCAGGACATGGACCTATGTTTAAACTGAATAAATAATTTAAATTATAAACTTACATTTATTATAAACTTCTAATAATTAAGCTCCGCACATATCACAATTTCCTGGGTTTTGCAATGAGCACATTAGTGCGGCGTCTTCGTCAAATTTCTCACTTTCTTTTTTTAAAGCGGAAGACTCCCCATTAATATTTCCATTTGTTACGAGCAGTTTAGTTTTATCAACTGTAAACTGTATAGGCTGCACTGCGGGTTTAGTTCTCAGGTAGTACATGCCAGTTTTTAACCCTTTGTGCCAACCGTAGAAATGCATAGAAGTGATGTTCGCGTAGTTCGGCTTTTCGATATGTATGTTAAGGGATTGACTTTGGTCTATGAAGGCGCCCCGGTCGGCTGCCATGTTTATAATTGTTTTTTGCTTGATTTCCCACACAGTTTTGTAGATGGCTTTAATATTGTCGGGAATTCCGGGAATATTTTGAACAGATCCATAATTCGCGATAATTTGATTTTTCATTACATCATTCCATAGGTCTAAATCGGTTAAATCGTTGATTAAATGTTGATTTACAACGAAGAATTCGCCACTGAGAACCCGTCTTGTGTAGATATTCGAAGTGTAGGGCTCGACAGATTCGTTGTTGCCTAATATTTGCGCAGTCGAAGCAGTCGGCATTGGTGCCAATAGAAGGGAATTTCGTATGCCGTGTTTCGCTATTTTGAGTTTTAAAGACGCCCAATCCCAAAGGTCGGTCGGTGTTTTGTTCCACATTTCGTACTGCAGAATTCCTTTACTTACTGGTGAACCTAAGTAGGTGGAATATGGTCCTTCAATTTCGGCGAGCTCGCAGCTAGCCTCTAAGGCGCCATAGTATATTGTCTCGAAGATTTGTTGGTTGAGTAAGGCGGCCTCTTCGCTTTCGAAGGGCATTCGTAATAAAATGAAAGCATCGGCCAATCCTTGAATGCCGATGCCGATGGGACGATGACGGAAATTGGAATTCTGAGCTTCTATGATCGGATAATAGTTTACGTCGATGATTTTGTTCAAATTCTTCGCGACTACTTTCGTAATGGTTTTCAACTGTTGAAAATCGTACGATTTACGATCGGATTTTACAAACATATTGACAGCGATCGATGCCAAATTGCAGACTGCAATTTCATCGGGCGAAGTGTATTCGACAATTTCCGTACATAAATTGCTGCTTTTGATCGTTCCCAAATTTTGTTGGTTACTTTTACGATTGCAGGAATCTTTGTATAACATGTACGGAGTTCCGGTTTCCACTTGGGAAGTGACAATGGCACGCCACAATTCTTGAGCTCTCACCTGCCGTACATATTTGCCCTCACGTTCGTATTTCTCGTACAGTTGCTCAAAGGCCTCCCCCCAGCAATCTGGCAACCCTGGGCATTGATGAGGACACATTAAAGACCACATCTGATCTTGTTCGACTCGTTTCATAAACAGATCCGGAACCCACAGGCCGTAAAATAAATCACGAGCACGGAGCTCCTCTTTCCCGGTGTTTTTCTTCAAGTTTAAAAACTCGAATATGTCGGCGTGCCAGGGCTCCAAGTAAATCGCGAAAGCCCCCGGCCTTTTGTTGCCTCCTTGATCGACGTAACGTGCCACATTATTGAAAACACGTAACAAAGGCACCAGGCCGTTTGAAACGCCATTCGTGCCCGCAATGTATGTTCCTTTTGCCCTAATGTTGTGGATATTAACGCCAATACCGCCGGCACATTTAGATATAAAAGCGCATTGAGTAATACAGGAAAAAATACCTTCGATGCTATCGGAAGGCATCATTAGCAAGAAACACGAAGAGAGCTGTGGTTTCGGAGTCGCAGCAGAAAACAGAGTGGGACTCGCATGGGTGAAAAATCGTTCGGACATGTAATTGTAAGTTTCAATTGCCGCTTCGATATCTTCACCGTGAATCCCGACTGCCGTGCGCATCAACATGTGTTGAGGACGTTCCACGATTTTCTTATTTATCTTCAGAAGATATGAGCGCTCCAAAGTCTTAAAACCGAAGTAGTTGTACGAGAAATCGCGATCGTATATGATAACTGAATTTAAACGATCCGCATTTTTCATAATAATATTGTAGTATTTTTCGGATATCATTGGAGTTGCTGTTTGGGTTTTCTCATTAACCATATGATACAGATCGTTGATAACATCTACAATAGAAGATATAACTAGTTTAATTAACAATTCATCGAGTCCTATCAGTTATAACCCTTACTAATACGCTACAGCGCTCTTTTATACAGATTTTTCTGAGTTCTGACCATTATCTTCGTGTACAAGACTTCATTTAGTGCAGGTTTAGAGAACACGTGAAAAAAGACTGTACTTGAGGTTGTTGCACGAAGTTGCAATTGTAGACGCATTAGTGGGAGTTACAATGTAATGGACTTCTAATTCAATTACATACCGCTGAACTGTTTCTTAGTTTCTTTGTGTAAATTGGACACGGCGATGCGAGCAGCGAGAGTGGCATAATCAGGATGATCCGTGGCCATAGAAGCCGCCGTTTCCGCAGCTAAAGTGTCCAGTTCCACTGTCGTTACGCCCGGATATAACCCGTGAATCACTTTCAACGTAATCGACACCTGCTCAAAGTAGAATTACGATTACGAATGACATAGTTATAGATGCTTACGGGATCGACAAAGTCCATGTTTAAGCCGTAGCATAATTTCTGAATTCGAGAAGTGATTTTGTCGAAATGTACCTCTTCCTCGCGGCCGTCTAAGATTAGAAAATTTGAAAACGCAGTAATTTAACCTATAATTACTTACCTCGCTTTATAACAAAGTTTTTCTTTTGCGGTTTACGAACCATATTTTATTTTAAAAGTACAAATTATACGTAAAATACTAATAAGTTAAAAAAGTTCCACTAACTGATAAAATAGCACAAAACAAGATGGTGTTTTCTTTTCCCGCTAAAACCAACCAACCCAAACAGACAACAGCTGATGATTTGCTTAACGTCTAAAAAGTGAACGCGCATGCGCCCTTCAGGAAGAGATTGTATAGGGCTGTGTGTAAATTGTGTTTAGAATTTGAAAAGAACTGCATGGAGCAAATGACATATGACATCACCATTACCATATTTTAAGTGATGCACCGAAAATCTTATAACGGAAGCAGAAGCCGAAACAGAAGACAAAATATTTTTTGCAGAAGTAACAAATTAACAAAATATTTGACACCGCCTATTCAAACGAGCATCAGGGGATCACCCGGTATATTAACTTATGAAATCGTCAATTTGAATTAATATAAATTTACCGTTCCTATTCAGTAAATGTTGGCTATTGTAAGCATCTTTTATGCGAAATGAGTAGTAAATGGAAACGAATAACATTTCCAGAAACCACGTGGCGCAAAATTTCAAATTTTCATTAGTGGATTTTACGTTGTTACGTTGTCAACAGTGCGTTTTTATTTCTATTCACGTGACACTTCGGAAAAAATCTATAAAGACAAATCGTGGAAGAACGATCACCCATTTCCCTTGTGAAAAATTGGTTTTTCCAATTTCCGCAGTTTCCTCTGGGTCCAAGTCAAACGCGATAGGTGATCAACATGAGCACAAATTCCAACGAAGACGCAAAACAGGAAAATGCACTCTCTACCGCACCAGTAGCGACTGATAATCAAATTGCAAGTGTAAGTGTTCTTTCATTGGAAAAATTAGAACCTAATTGTGCTTATTTTAGGGAAATGACCCGATTCAAAGGCAACCATCCAAATTGGAATCTTTCTTCGCCATCACAAAATCATTAATCATCCGTGCACTGATCATATACTTCATTACGTCATTTTTCCGATCTCGCCCGTCAACCCCCACGGGTACTTCTACCGTGCCACACTCAGTGGCACAAAACATGTTCCAAAATGGCACAAGAATGTCTCTCCACATATACATTTCGGAAAACTTTGTACATCAGTTCGAAAACAGCAGCCTGTTCTGGGTGCAATCCAATTTAATTTATGGAGACTTTACATCGGGGAATTACCAAGATGGTGTCTACTACTATGAAAATGTCCTGCAAGTTACAGATCGATTACGTAACAACGGGTCTTTGTTTTTACACGCATATTTGACCCGTTACGAACAAAGTCCCGACCCAAAATCGTCCAATTATGCTAAAAATGAAGTTAGCTATGTGACAATGCAACTGAATAAGTATAAGAAATTGAAAAACTCGAAGACAAAAAATTTAATTACCGGTGAAACGGAACTGGAAGCACAAGAAGAAAGGATCGTTTCTCATTGGCATCCTAACATTACCATTAATTTAGTTACAGACTTTACTGGCTGGACTTTCGGGGGTGTTCCATCGCCACTCGATGAATATATTAAATTTACAGAGGACAAACTACTGTATAAACCCATACTGTTTGTTAACGACTTTTGGAATATGGCGAAAGACTATAAACCGCTAAATGATACATTGAATTTGCACGTCACATTCCAGCCGATTGGGCTTTTTAAGTGGCAAATTTATGCCGCACAGTCCATGAGGCAAAAGTGGAGTTTGTTTGGAGATACAGAAGGTGAACAGTCGGATGAAGAACAGGATACCCTCAAGGAAACATTGTTAGACACTAATCCTTATTTGCTAGGATTGACTATGTTCGTCTCCTTATTGCATTCCGTTTTTGAGTTATTAGCTTTCAAAAATGATATCCAGTTTTGGAACAACCGTAGCTCTTTGGAAGGTCTCTCGGTTCGTTCAGTCCTTTTTGGCGTGTTTCAAACGTTAATAGTATTACTGTATGTTTTGGATAACGAAACCAATACCCTGATTCGTATCAGCTGCTTTATTGGTTTAGGCATTGAGCTGTGGAAGATAAATAAGGTTATCGATATTAAATTTGAGAATGGACGACTTTGCTTTAAAGATAAGGGTTCGTATGTCGAAAGCAGCACAAGACAGTATGACGAATTAGCCTTCAAGTATTTATCCTGGGTTTGCTTCCCACTCTTGGCAGGTTATGGCGTTTATGCTTTGCTATACTTAGAACATAAGGGTTGGTATTCCTTTGTTTTAAGTATGCTGTATGGATTTCTGTTAACTTTTGGTTTCATTATGATGACCCCTCAATTGTTTATTAACTACAAATTAAAGTCCGTCGCTCATTTGCCGTGGAGAATGTTAACGTACAAGTTTTTAAATACGTTCATCGATGATATGTTTGCCTTTGTTATCAAAATGCCTACTATGTATAGAATAGGATGCTTCAGAGATGATATAATATTTTTAGTGTTCTTGTATCAAAGGTGGATTTATCGCGTTGATAAAACTAGAAGAAACGAATTTGGGTACGTTGCCGAGCAACAAGAAAATGCGGCAATTGAAGATAAAAAAACCCAATAATCAAATTAGATAAATATCCGTTTATTGTAAATGACTTATTTTTTTTTCGTAATTTAAATCTGTAATACAGTTAAATAAATTAATCGTGTAGTCGCTGTTATTAAAGGAATGGTGAAGTTTATGAAAAGTTGCAATCCTCCCCTGAAGCTCTACAAATATGTTTCCACATTGTACTTGAAACCTCTTCGACAGATACTGCTTTTTTGGTAACCTTGAATGGTTCAATGTTTTCATCTGGACCTACAATAACTGCATCGTGCTAAGGAAAACTATATTCAGTCTAAATGTGCCTAATTTATAACTAGGTCTATGCAGGACACCACCTTTACTTTTACTACCACAACATTCTCCTCTGTTATTCTGTGATGTTTTCTTTTTTAACTCTGAGAAAAGTATCTCTGGTTTTTTCACAGATCACCCTTAAAATTACAGTTGCATTAAGTTGCTAAATTTAAAGTCGAATTTAAAAAAGGAAGCTCCCAAAGAAAATAAATAATAGTCAGTTTCGTATAAACTTGATATTGCCCAAAGTGCTTAAGTTAAAACCTGACTGCATCTTGCGAGAATAAAAAAAAAGAAACAAACTGGGAAAGACGTCTTGTTTTCAAGACATTTTTTGATGGTGATTTTTGAGGGTAATCGCTTAGAACTATTTTGAGGCTAGTTGACCTCGTAAGATAATTTTCAGTACTGTAACAGCATCATGTTACCAAGAAAAGAATTATGCTGATGTTATGGCCATAGGTACTAATGTTACAAAACAGCAGGTAATGTGTAATATGCAGGAGTGGATAGCAAATATACTTCATTCTTTTTAAAAGGATACATCCCGAAACATCTTGACTTTTATAATTAAAAGTGGTTTTGAAAAGTTCCTTCGACGCTTTACATAAATTTCTAAAATTTCAACTTAAAAAAAAGTTTGCCAAATGAATTAATTTACCTGCACATTAACATATTTTCTTCATTCATGCCTTTGTTTAATTTAAGATCTCGGTAATGATTTAAATTTGTCGCATTCTGTGAGATTTCTGCCTTAAGTTGTTCTTCTTTATATTGTAGTTGTTTCTAAAACTAAAATCTAGTATTCTTCCACATAATAATTTAACCGTTACTTCCAATTTCTCTTTTTACAATCACTATTTTGTCAAAAAGGCATCTTGTAATTAGCAATGGTAATAACGAAATCAAGGAATAAAGTATTAATAGAAAGTGGAAGTGACTGTTCCGCCTTCTGAGAAAATTAATGCTCACCAGTTTCAATAAACATTCGTCTCGTTTGTTCAACAAATCATGTTTCTTGTTTAGATTATTGGTGCCGCACTGCACACTGCTGTTTGTGAAAGTGTTACTTGTCACAACTATAAAGATATATAAAGTTGCAACAATTGGCGTATTCGTTTCTCGTAATTTTGTGATTTATAATTCAAGTTTCACAAAAATCAGTTCAGTTAAATCATTATCACTAGAAGAAAACACGGAGTTTGTTTAAGGAAAAGAGTAGTCTAAGGTTTGTTTTGCATGTAACAAACCTAGAAGAAAAGGACTCATCTATTATTTTTAGCGATAATATTGTTTAAACAATTATGTTGTACTTTGTGTATAGGAAGCTGATTTCAGATGGCATTCGACAGGTAGTAGGTACACTATTCATAAGACAGTTGTTACATGTCCCACAAAAAATAAACAACCCAAGCTTATGATTCCAGTTTTCTGGGGTTACAGGTTATCTTAAATTGACGTGATTTGACTGTACTAACTTTACCTGATACCTGCAATCACAAGAATACCAATTCCTGGTCAGTAATGGGATGGGGGTGAGTGTAATGAAAAAATCACAAGAAGCTAATAACATACCTAAGGTATCTCTTATATTGTTTCTGAAGATTTTCTTCCATGCGTCACGCCGTTCTTTAAATTGGTGGATATCGCATAATATTTTACTTTCCATATATTCCAAGAAGTTTGGAAATGTTTCTTTAAAATCTTCTTGCAATTGCATTGTAAAATTTGTAACGGACAGTACGTTTAAACTGGTGATAGACATAACGCATGCGTATTTAACAGAGTCACGTCGGATTCTAGAAGCTGGTTTACGATTGATGTACCAAATACCTACAGAGATGTATTGAGGGTGAGACATGGGATACGGCCCCGGGACTCGACCATTACAGAATACATCTACTATGATGTAAATTAACTTATTTTTAATAGAATCGGGCAGAATATAATGGGTAATGAATCCATATTTACATAGTTCTATGTTATCGGAAAATTAAATAGAGGTATCGTCCTCCACCTATTCTCCACACACTGCGGAAAACGATTTCTGGTGTTTGTCATATGACTCTTTCCAGCGGTCCGAATTCATTCTCATCTCACAAATGAACATCGGGCTTCATCGCTAAAAAAACAATTGCGTTCTCAGGAACAACTTCGAGAAGAACCTCATTCGTTGTACTATGGACAAAATAACTTCATAAAAAAACTAAAATTCTGGATGACATTTTATTAATTTGGATATTGTTGCTTTGGCACAAAAAAATCTTACGTTTCTTATAAACTGTTATCGGTACTGTACCAATTGACAATGTCTACTGTTTCTTTAGTTGAATACATCGCACATAAACGTATACGCATGTCAAAGCAACAATACCAAACAGCCAGATCTTTATTTGTTTAAAGAAATTATTTTGATTGCATAAAATTAGGCGTCCTTCAGAAGATTTTGTATATATAGATATAGGAAAAGCAATACAATAAACCCATATGTCTTCCGCTTAATAAATATCACTGTATACAATTTACAATGGTTACACTTATAGCGTTTTCGATTGGCAAAACTCGTGCTGCACGTTCTATTGGTAATTTTAGGGCAATTTTCTGTGTGCCATTGGCAAATGTGATGCAACAATTACGCACGAGGCCCGAGAGCTCGTGGAGCTGCTAGTTAACAAATTTTCAAAACAAACGTGCGACAATTTGAATTTGTTTCTTGCGTTGGGAGAGTTTCTTGTCGTCATCTAGCGATAGCGAAGATGATGAACTAGCCATAACTTCTATTTTACAAAAAGTTGCACTTACTCATTAAACTGAACGCCAAAAATTGGTCGTTTACGAATATTTATGTTCCATTGAGAACAATTTTCACATGGATTTCTTCAGTTTCTCGTGCAACACTCGTGCAGTACGAGTTTTGCCAATCGAAATCGCTATTATTCTAAACCCCCAGCAGAGCTCTGGGCGGTCGCTCACTCCTGAGACCGGCACTGTCCTTTATCAAAGTGTATACAAAACAAAACATAACCTTCGTTTTTACAACAGCTGTGAACAAGTTGTACTTACTGCTTAGCCAAATAAAGTGTAAGCTGCCCACATTCAAGGTTTTATATTCAAGTGAAAAATTATCAAATGGAGATACAAGAAAGCAAAACATCCAACAACAGTTTTGCCTATTTGGACATCAAAATAGGCTTAGAGAAAAGTAGCATAGAGAGAGACTATAATTAGTTAATATTTTAATTGCAGGCGGTAGGGTAATAATAGAACTGTTTGATGATATAGTCCCAAGAACTGTTAAAAACTTTAAATCGCTTTGTCTTGGAAGTGAAGATCCCGTACTCTGTAAACCATTATGTTACCAAGGGACCCAATTTCACAGAGGTATTACTAGTCGTCTGCTTACAACCCGCACAAAAAAACCTGTATAACTTTTTAGTTGTACCGCAGTTTATGGTGCAAGGAGGTGACGTTACCAAAAATGACGGTACTGGAGGCAGAAGTATATATGGAAAGCAATTTGACGATGAAAACTTTGAACTGACTGTAAATGTACTTTTTGTCAATTTGTTACATAGTGGGAAATTGTAGCATAGCGAAGAGGGACGTGTGGGTATGGCAAACGCAGGCGCAAACACAAACAACTCACAATTCTACATTACTACAGTTCCCTGTCCGCATTTGGATAATATAAACGTTGTATTTGGACAAGTTCGCAAGGGGTTAAATATAATACGCGAGATGGGAGAAGTGCCGAGAGATAACGATGTCCCCATTATTGTATACACAATTAAATGTGTTCTCAAAATAATTTCGTTATAATTTCAGAAATGCATAATTGAGAAGTGCGGAATTTTGGAACCTGGAAAACTGTGGGGTATAAATGAAAATGACGGTACTCTTGATGTATATCCACCTTGGCCAGACGATTGGGAAGTTGCTAGCGATGAGAAACTGGAAAATGTAATTAGTAACATTAAACATTCTGGTAATTATTATTTTAAACGACACAATTACGTCGATTCTGACAGAAAGTACAAAAAAGCACTTCGATATATCGATTATTTGTTAACGTCCGGAAGTGGATACGATTCTAAGATTGTAAGCGAAATAAAGGTGTGCTCACTTTTAAATTTAGCCGCAGTACGCATAAAGAAAGGTAAATTTCAGGACGCAAATATCTATTGCAATCAGGTATGTTCGTTAAATCCATTTATTCGGTCACAAATTTGATTTAGGCTATCGCTCTCGACTCCCAGAATGGAAAAGCACATTATAGAAGAGCCCAGGCTCTTATCGGTTTGAAGGAGTACGATAAAGCGCTGCTAGATTTAAACAAAGCCTACAACTTCTGCCCAAGTGATAAGTTGATACAAAATGAGCTGCAAAAAGTCAAAAATCTGAAACTGAATTATCTACAGAAAGAAAAAATGATATTTTCAAAAATGTTCAGCACTATCAACTAATTTTATAAATTGTCGAATAAACATCTTTAATTTTGCAATGAGTGTTGTATTTTATGCAAGAGCTTTAGCATCATGTAAATCTAAGCAAGGCCATTAGTCAAATGTGAAACTTAAAACAACAAATACATATTTATACACTTAAAGCTAATGCGAATTAAATTACTATGTGATACAATTGTCGATGTATTTCTTAATCCCTCATTCATTTTGGTCCGACTCTCTATCACCCTGGTTTTCTGATACTGTTTTTATCATCCCGTCTACAAGAGTACCGGCAAACTGTTTCAGTTCTTGACTTGTTAGGCTATCGCCGTTATTTGGAGTATTCTGTTTACATTGACTTACAGGCAGTGGAAGAGAGGACGGTCTTGTTTGTTTTTGAAATGGAAAATTTTTGGCCGCCTCGCCCTGAAAACGTTATTCATATAACTTGGAACTAACGGCTGTAAAGATATACTTGAGGCGTATGGACAGCACTTATTTCGGTTTGTGTCGCTATCGCATTTTCGTTTATCTGCTGACTTTGAGGTCCGAATGTTGTCATGAATTTAATTATATTTTGCATAGATCCCTGAAGTTGTTGTACCTAAACGATTTAATATTATTATTAAATGAAGAATTTGCACTCACTTACCTGAGAATGGAGCATGTTGCAAGTTTGCGCTAAATCTTTCACTATTTCCGTATTTTCTAGTGTAGATGATGGGAACACGGCGCCACTTGTTGTTTCGCCATTGGGATGTAATGTGGACACCTTCTTCCATAATGCATTAATAGCTTGCATTTGAAGCATTTGAATCCTTCGTTCGCTCTCGAGTGCTACCTTTGTAGATTCCATGTCATTTGCAAGTTTTCTAAATTAAAAAACATAAGAGAGCAAATTTGATTAGTTGTAGCCACCGTAGAATTTTTGCAAAACAGTACCACGAATACTTACTGTATATATTCTTCAGATCTCTGAGCTTGTAACGTTTTAAATAATTCTTGCACGTATTTATTTTTATTTCGAACATAATAACCTCGCCACATTTTTTGAATATAAACCGCCGCCCTCTCAACCTTTTCCTCGCTAGTTTGACATACGTCATTATCTTTTTGGCGACGTTCTTTCACTTTAATTTGAATCATCTGTAATTTCGCAGGACAAATTTCCGATTCCTCTTCACTGCTCGGGGATTTCTTCATGACACTCTCGGGCTGTCTTGTCCTAAAAGTGCAATCGGAGACCTCGACGTAAGAAAAGATTGCAACTTACTGATTGTTTTGCGAATACTTGCGCTGTTGATTCGGCGAACCGTTCTTTTTCTTAACTGCGTCCGTTTGAATTTTTGATTTTATCGTTGCTATACGAGACGGCTTCGGTGACTGAGATGAAGGCGTTATTTTGCTCGATGTTCTATTATTGTTGGCTGTAGGGATTTTGTTACATAGAGCCATAGGTCGGTAATCTGGACTCATTAGTGATTCAGGAACGGGAACTAATTTTGACAGCGCCTGTAGTGGGCTGCTTATATCTGTTTTAAACAATTCAGTGTCACTGTGATAATGTAATATAATAAATCTTTAATTTGTATGGTGCAACAATACATAAATGCAAATTTACGATTAGGCTTCACTCGAATATTCCCCTCTGGAGAATTGTATGCACTTCTTCCTAACTTATTGCATCTATTATTACAGATGTAAATATACTACAGATAATCCCATGTTATACATTGGCTACAGCACAGATCTACACATACAACAGATTGCTAACCTTATGCATTTTATAGGAAACACATTTAGGTATACTTAAAAGCGCCCTCTATTGAGCAGCAGATAATGCACGCTTAGTAAAGTGACAGACGGAAAACTCCAAACGTCAAGTAGCGGAAAAATTCGAACTTAAGTGCCTGCTGAGTTAAATCAACCCGCACCGTATCTAGAGGTGTTCTGTGTACCTCTGTTGCAACTGGTAATTTGTGGCAACATAAAACCAATGATGTAGGTAGTAGGGCTATGCGATAATAGAAATTCACAATCGATTATGGATTAATGAAAAATTATCGATAGTATCAATTATCGGTTATTGATAACATTGATAATTTTTTCTTATTATGAACATGGCCACCTGCGCCAAAAGGATAAATTGTAAAAGGAAATCCAAATAGGAAGAATTTTTATGTGCATCCCGATTACGGCTGTGACAAATTATCGATACTGATAGTCAAGGTCTATTGATAATTATCAGTATATCGATAGACTTCAATTATCAATTATTTTTCATATTCCAGTAACTAGTAATACAGTATAAAAATCATGAAATTTATAAAAATTAAGATTTTTAGGGTGGAAAAAAAAATCTAATCCCTAATATACTACTTTTTCAGATAAAATCAGAGAAGCGCCTAAAGATAATGCAACAGAGTTTGTAAACGGATGCATTTAAACATAGAACTCAAAAAACTCTTCAAAAAGCTTTCATTTTCACTACGGAGGACACTTAAATGATCAAAGGCCTTCCACAGCGATCTAGCGCTCACGAGAGTCCGTTAAGTGTTTTCCAGAAACTCACTAAATCATTCCTAATACTTTCAAGGTCCTTTTGAAAGGTGGAGTGTGAAGCCAGTTCGAGGAAGTACCTACGGCGCTCTGAAAAAAGGAGCTGAAAAGATGTTAGAGCTTTGGAAAATTGATTATTTATGTTGTACAAAGGAAAATAACTTATGGCATAAATATTCTTAAAAATAAGTCAGCGCATGCGCACACCTGATGTTTAAAATATGCGATATGATTACTAGAAGAACTTCAAAAATATCTACAAATTGACGTTGCGTAATTTGAGCATGCGCACATTTTACAATATGCGATATGCTTGTCTTTACTAAAAGCATCCGTGGTTAAAATTTCAAATCTCAATAAATATGAAAGTTGACGGTGGGGAGTCTGCGCATGTGCACATTAATCGTCAACATTTTCCTTGACTGAGGTGCCAGAGCTACAAGCTACTGAATGCAAAAATAACGAACTAAATAACTCTACTCTAATAGTTATGTCTCGGACGGAGAAAGTGAATTGGAAAATGCGCTAAAAAGAAAACGTAGGCGAGAAATTACAAAAGAATCACTCGAAACATCTTAAATAATCAGATTTTCTTCTACCAAGTGCCACTCCTAGTACCACAAAGAACTGTACAGAACAGGTGATGTATCGCGAATTTAGGGCAGGCACTTCAGTGATCGAAGGCTGTAGAATGTGCGTAGTCAACTCTAGAAAGTACCTACAACGTGCCAAAAAACGGAGTTTAAAAGATCTTAGCGCTTGGAATAATCTAGAACGCGTTAGAAAGGGTCTAAAAAATGTTCAAACAGTTTTGGTTGGATTTAATCCATTTCGGGAACACGATAGAAGAATATGGAAAGGTGGTGAATGTTTCTGAACAGAGCCTTCAGAAGACGACAAAATCTTGAGCCTTTCGCAAAACGCTGTGGCCCCCTCCCAGGGTTTTTTAGGAATTTGACACCCTTTTCAAAACGTCTATAGCCCGTCTCACCTTGACTTTACAGTACTGGTAACATAGGCCAATGGAACCCTTATAGGAGTTTCTAGCGTGGCGATGGCGACATAGATATGCCTATTTTCTCCAAATCATAATGTGATGACATTTGGCATTGTTGTTGAGCATAACAGTACTGTAAAGTCAAGGTGATACGGACTGTAGTCAGGTCCATAGTTAGGGCGTGGCCAGAAGCGGTTCAGCCCCGCCTAGAAGGTGGTTTCCCCCTCTGGAAAAGATTCTGAAATTAAATTTCATACTTGACAGTTTTTAACTTCAATTGGAAACCAAAGGTTAAAATTTGTTCATTACACTGCAGGGTACTACTTTGTTGGTTCTTTTCTTATGGGTACTACATTGGATTTTTACGGAATGAGATTCATTTGAATGCATCGCCATCATAGCACGGGTGGTCATCTTGGGGAAAGCAAATGTTAGTACAGTGATGGTTAAGTACTGTATTCCGGGAGCTGTGTAACCCCCCCCCCCCCCAACGGGGTCCATGAAAAATATAAACACTAAAATCGCTATTTTATACATTAAATTACCACACCTACATACCAAGTTGTTGTTTTTTTTTGTCAAAGATACTGTGGTGTGGTTTTAACAGACGTTAACAGAAGACGATATAGTAATCTATAGAACACAATTTACACAAAAAAACCGAAAAACGTAGTTTCATCCACAAAAGTTCAATGTTTTATTGCAATCGAATACACGGTTTAGGAAGACATCATCAGAGACACCCAGGGTCACTCTTGGTAGGTACTTTCAGTAAAAGAAAAAGCTAAATGAATTTGACGAAATTCCAGGGTTGCAAAGCCCACCCACAACTTCTGCGATTTTTTACTAATATTCCCACAACTGAAATAATTTAATAAACAACAGCCTACGGAATGCCTTTTGCTTATCTGTAGTATATTATTTACATCTTGCTGTTACATGCGGAGGAACTCCACATGGGGTTTTTCTCTTTTGTTCTTTGTTCTTTTTGTTATAGTACCTAGGTACTATGAAAAGCCAGTAGTGACCACACACACACGTTATAGATAGGCATGCAACATTTTTAGTAGCATGCATTGCGCATTTTGAAAGCGGTTTTAGAAAAGCAACACTTGTTAAATAAGCGTTCTTCACATGTTGGTGACATTCAAATCAGCTACCAAACACTATCAGATGAGATGGCAAATGTACCTTCTAAACATTTTTCAACAATTCCATTTTGGTGTTCGATACAATCATTCAATTTTGGTGGAATATTGTGACTTAATATTGACGGATCGAGACTTTTTGTCATTATTGGTGAACTTGTACTGTTATCCGTCGAATAGCAACTTGTCGACATTAAATCTGCGCCTTTTGAACTTAATCTGGATGCTACAAAACAACTATTAGGATCACAACGATTCATCAAATACACCTTACTTAATCGTGGTGAAAATTTAGATGATTGCAGTTTTTTTCTCGCTACAGGTGAACTGCAAGCGCTAGCTACAACAATACTTTTTAATAAGTCGCCACAGAAAAACATGTACAGTCTTTACGGTTAATTTCCTGATCTCTTAATTGTTGCTGGTGGTGTTGAGCTTTACTTAAAATCAGTCTGAGTTTTCTATCTTCTTCAGTTTCTAGGGTTTCTCCAGATAATGGGCATACTGTCGCTAAGTACTGACTCAATTCTTGTTGATCGCCCACACGAAAATGTCTACCCCGTCCTTGAGAGTATAACCATTCAGCCCTCAAACTAGTAAAGACATAATACTAAGAAGTTTAATTACAAATTTCACCTTTCAATTGCATCAACAACATATCCGTCTATTGTACGTACATTCATACACCAATTTACAATAAATGGACGGTAATCAAAACCTCTAATGAACTGTTAAGAAAATGTCTACACCAATTGTGAATTCCTCCCACCCTTAAGAGGAAAGTAGCTTTTGGCAACACGAGTAAATTGCGCATATGCAACAGTTATTTACATAAGAGCTAAATGGAAAGCATTTGTAATTCACTCTTACCAAGCAATGTGGATGCCTACTTTCCCATACTGAGGTTTGGAGTTGTGAACAAAAAACGAAAAGCAGTAAACAATATCCGTACAAAATACCTGCGGTTAAAGGATACACAACATTTCCACTCATCTTGACGCATGGATTGTTAGCTATCGAAATGTTATTCAAGGCGGTAAGATGAACAAGCCGAGATACTTCATTTAAATCATTAATATTGTTAGAAGCAAGCGTTAATGTGACAAGGCTAGACGGCAGATATCTGTCACACTGGTGCAGATGTCCAATTTTGTTACCGTGCAGTAATAGCTCCTATAGATATATCATTTATAATATACAGTGTTTCTGAATGATTGCAAAAAATTGGTTGGTTTTATTATTTCTGTCAGATTGTAATAAAACTAAAGTTCAATATTGTTTCTTTAATGTACTGCCCAAAAAAAAACACACAAGTTTGAAACTGTTGGTTTCAACAGGATGGTGCATCTGCGCATAACACCCTAATCGGACATATTTTCCACCATCCTGTTGAAACCAACAGAGTGTGTCGTTGATGATTTCTCAGAAACAAAACATTACATTGAAAATCTCTCAACGCTGTCTTGTAGGCATACATTTGTTTCTATTGGGTAATGATTATGACTTAATTACGATAGAATAAAATCATTAAGACATAGCCAATAGAAACAAAGGTTTATTAGTCATCACTAACCAATGAAACCATACCTTTGTTTCGATTGGCCATTTCTTAATGATCTAATGACTGTATAAACCCACCACTACACATTTAAGAGCGGATCATTTGTTTCAATGGAAATTAACTACCCGATAAATTTAATGAGAAAATGAAACACCAGCCTTAAAAACATGCCCTTTTTTCATGAGCGAAAGGTGTTTTTTTGTTTGTCTTTAGGCCAAGTCTCAAAGGTAGAGTTAAACACATCTGAAGGCCTGACATTTATTCAAAGGGCATGACATCTACCCTTATTCATCAATTACCATTAAAGGGCTAGGAATAAAGAAAAAAAAAGCCAATGTTGCAGTTTAATACATGTGGAAACGCACGACCCGAATCATTTAGATTGACCTCTGACAATTTCGGGTTTATAACTCTCCCAAACTTTTTTTGCAATCATTTTGTAACACATTGTACCGCATACTTAAAAAGCACGACAGAATCTACGACTTACCTTAAGATTTTTTAAGAATGATAAATCGCTTATATGGCTAATTGTATTTTCCGAAAGATCCAACGTTTCTAATTTTATATTTGTATTTAAATGCTCAATCGTCTACAATAAATGCTGTTATTCGTGATCTCAATGCAAGACTATACCTACCTTGATTGCATTTCCGGCTAAACACAAATGCTTTAAATTTATTAATTCCTTAAGACCTTCGATTGTTAAAATGCCATTATGTGCCAGATTTAAAGTATGTAACATATGCAATCGACAAACGCCATACATTCTTAGCAGGTGATTACGGGCAACGGACAACTACAATAGAAGTTTAAAAACATTACATGATTCAAGCCCGTCGTATACATACTTTTTGAACCTTGTTGTATGAATCAACATTGTCCAGGCGTTGTAACTCATTGTCATCTAGTATTAAAGTTGTAACTTGCGTTTCATTCGACAAAGGTTTATTTAGTTTTTTTAATTTCCTTCCTGTTAAGTCCAAGGTATCCAGAAAATTATCTAAGGAAGAAAATGCATTATTTATGTACAACAAATTAGGTTAGGTTTACAGCAAGTGTTTGAAATTTGGCAAAATGTAAACATAACTCACCCATATAGATAATAATACAAGTACCAATAAATGAAAGGGTTTTATTTCAACAAACAGTATAATGTTTGTATATAAACATTGCTGCTTACATTAAAAATAGTTTTGTTGTGCCTTGTCACAGTGGCCTTTTGTGTTGTATGTTGAGGGCGTTCGATTGTTTCTATTTGAGTGATACGTGAGACAGGTTGTTATTTTATTGTATACAGGGTGTCGAAATAGTTTACGCACCAATGCTAATTTCGAAATATTTTCTCCCCTACTTAATTTCGAGTAAAGTTGTATAGGTGGGCACATCATGGAATTTGGATTTCGAGCGGAGGGCGAACGAGGAGATATGCCTTCGTTTCCTTTTGTACTGTCTCCATGGTTCTTCGCGTCCAGGGTCACTCAAGTCACCTCACGCTTGACAACACCATAAGGGCGCAAATGTGTGGCGGTCATGGCTGCTTCAGGGTGTACTTGCAGATAATAAATAAAAGGGACAGCTCGAAATGTTTGTATGGCAACAAACATTGCGATGCAGAACCTACATTCTTTGAATGTAGTAAAAGTGGACCAGACAGCGGGGGAAAATAGGGGAGAGCACACCAGACAACGTAAGCTAGCGCTCAAAAATAGCTCGAGATGGAAAATACTATAGTACCTACAGTACAGTTTATAGAGGAAGAGAAAGATGGTACCTGGTTTACTGGCTGAAGGAAGTGGACAAGGGTTCCTGCCAGTAAACATACTAGGCCAAGGACTCCAAGAAGTCGTTTTAGTGCGTATGCCAACATGGATCAGAAGGAGAATCCCCACATCTACTATGTACCTTGAGCCGATAGAACAAGAAAACGTATTTCCTGGTTGTACAATTTAAGGACTTGCAGTTCAATTTGATCTGCGGAGCGGTATCAAATCTACCAATTGTAAGAGGAGACGGCCCATGAAAAAATTGAGGAGAAGGGAACCTTGTTTTCAACCTTAGAGAAGGAAAGAGTTTCATAAGTTTTCAACTAACATTACAGCGTTGCCAATTTTACAACAGAACAGCTGTAATTAACAGCGACATTGTATATTGCTGTCAAATAAAAGGTTAAATCCCTATGTTTTTATCTAGGGTTAAAATTATGTAAGTAGATGGTAAACTAAATGGTAAATACATACCCATTGTAATGAAATGGTTCAAAGAACGTTAGTAAATGTAATGAACAGTGAATCAATTTAATAAATGCCCTGATTTGTTAGTGGTAATTATGTTGGTGAGGCAAAAATTAATTATGTAAATGTTATACAGTTGTATGTAGAATCAAAATAGTCTATCAATTTTGCTAACCCATTGCGCAATTGTTGTAGGTATTTTTTATTGTTAAGTTTAAAACTACCAATTCGAAGGACATAAGAACGTTGTTATAATTACCACGTGATTTATAAAATTCTTCAAACTGGAGCGCCTACCTGAGTATCTCCGTGACACTGTGGATTGGTTTATGGGGTAAGCGTTTCGTGCGGTGCGGTTACCCGGTTTTTTCGTGACAATCCTATTTTACAGAAAGGCCAGACGAAAAGATAAAGAAGGCGGTGAATCTGGTACGTCCTCGGACTCAAAGCTATATTTGGAAGCTGCAGTTCTCGAGAGAAAGCTTCCGGAATTGGACTTGAAACTTCTAGTGGAATTACCTGCAGGTTTAGATTATAACGAATGGCTAGCTTCGCATAGTAAGTGTGGATAACGGGCGGTGTAGCTGTTCTTATACGTAATTTTTAGCGATGGCTCTTTTTGATCATGTTAATTTAGTCTATGGTACTATTAGTGAATTTTGTACAGTAACGGGCTGCCCTGATATGACCGGACCAGGTCAAAGGTTAGTAGTAGCCATAATTTTTTTATACATACCAGTATTGGAAATGTCTAGCATCCGCAACAAACACGGTTGGTCTTTTTCTTATACTTTCACACTTTTGTTATGTTCATCTTCAAACTTGTTCTTCTTGTGTTTGTTCTCCTTTTGTGTGATCACTTTTCACAGCCACTCATTCATCATCAAAATGCTAATGTAATAAACATAAACTCAAGGGTGTAAGATCCTCAGATTTAAAACACCAAGGGCCATTTACACAAATCTGATCCTAGGGTTAAGAAATGTGGTTGGTTAATGCGTTTGACACTATCCAATCAGGGTATAAGCACACCCACTATGAAGCCAATCATTCAAGCCTTAATACTGGGATCAAAAATAATTCCATGTTAACACTGGATTATTTTTTTGACCCATAAGAGAGTAGGATTTTGAGATCCTGAAATTTTGCAATCTGGAACTCAGGAGCTCCAGATAGTGTTTTCTTCAGTTTTCATTCTTCATTCATTCATTCATTCTTTTATATTGCATAAACTTTATTTGCCACATAATCTCGGACTTCTATGGCACCCTTAACATCTATACAAGATAATAATAATAATCATTTATTGTCCAACGGAATATTTTCCAATAACAGGACAATGTACTTGTGTACTAAATGAATCTAGTGTACATATATGAAAATAAAAGTGTACTGTAAATATTCAAAAAGAGAACTTAGAATTAAATTCAATAGAGATTCACAAAGAATAAGTTAAACGGATATAATTACTAATTATCAAATTATACAAAAAAAAAAACAGAACAAAAAAATTATCAGAACAAGTGAAAATATTACAAAAAATGACAAAAAATAGCGCAAAAAGAGAAAATACTTTATTGTGAAATATGCCTTAATATTGTCGGTAAGCTACTAAAATGTATATCACACTTCCGGCATACTGAATTAAACTTTCGACAAATTGAAATGATAGGTGAACTAAACAGGATCACAAGATGAACGTCTAAAACGATCCACCCTTTATATATATAACTGGGTGATGAGATGTGATATCGTTGTTTGCACTAAACATATTACCACCAAGGAGGACATATTTGAAGATGACCTTCAGTTGTTTAGGGCTTGCATATTAGCAATTTAAAATATTCCTTGTATGATTGTTTTGATTTCTGCTCACAAATCAAAATTCCAAGCTTTTATTTTGTTAATGCCTCAATTTTTTAGGGTTTACTTATGGTTTGATGAGAAAGGGAAGAAGACAAGAGTTGCAGCTCCCCAGTATATTGATTATGTGATGACATTTACACAGAAAACTGTTAGTGATGAAACCATTTTTCCTACAAAATATGGTGCGATTATTATTATTATTATTCAAGATGCTAACGTGTTTGTTTTATAGCTAACGAATTTCCTTCGTCGTTTGAGTCGATAGTGAGAAAAATTATACGCTTACTGTTTCACGTAATAGCGCACTTATATGCTGCACATTTTAAGGAAGTGTGGTTATTGGGTTTGCATGCACATTTAAATCTCACTTTTACGCATCTAACTGCTCTCCATAATCGCTTCTCTCTAATAGAGTCTAAAGAAACCGAAGTATTACGTGATCTAGAGATTGCTTTGCATTTGTGCGAGGATATGTATCACGAGTCTGGAACATACACTAGCGGTATTGATCCCGAAGGAAGAGAAGCGGAAACAAAATCTAATAATGGTGACACTGTGGGTAAGTGTCTGCGACATTTTATTCTAATTTATTATCCGATCTGCACTAGGTGGTGAAATAAAAACATAGCTTATGGAAGAAGTCAGACTTAATTTGTTAAAACTTGTTTACTTAGCAAGCATGTGATCCTAGGGGGTTAAATTACCCATTTTAGTGCTAAATATATTTTATTTATTATTGTATCCCACTACGCAAATAGATAGCTTATAACATAAGTATTTTATAATTAAATTTTATTTTAGAAAGTTTCGTTTGTACTTAGTATTTTTGCATTGTACATATTAAATTTGTGTAGTTGACCAATACTTTCTCGCTTCTTTTAGACGGCCGTGAAATCATTTACCAAATTTCTTAAAATTCTCTGCGATTGTTCAAAATTAAAGAAAATAAGTAACTTCAAAATCTATGACTGTACATTGTCAGCACCTTTTTTTTTAAAGAAAAGAGAACGAATGTGGGTGTGTGTATATAATAAACTGAAATTAGTTTGTTGTTAAATGTAGTCTGTAACATTATAGTACCATAGACTTTGTTGAAAACGAAAAATAAATAAAATTCTAATGTTTTTTTTTCAGTTATAAATAGTATCTAGAGTGTCAATTCTTATATATCTAGAGACTTTAGTGTAAATGGGAAGGTTCTATCGACTATAGTTATTGCAACAACGGGCATAATGTATTTTTCTTTGCGAGGCAAAAAAACTCACAAGTGTGAGAGGTGGATCTATTCATGACTTATGTTTGTATCATCACGATTGTTTATTTCGTGAGGTCAAGGGAACCAATTTATTTATTTCCAAAAGCTCTACAGTGAATAGTCACTCCTTCCTTTGAAATTGGACATCACAGCCATTGCTTTTCCAATTTTTTTGGATGCATTAAATACTCACAATCACTTGATCCTCGGATCTTTTTGAACTGCAGCCGTCCAATCCTTTTGTTGCAGAGATTTGATTCGATTGGTTCATTACAACTTCTGATGTTTTACTAGACCTTTATGCACGGTACTTAGAAATTCTAGTGAAAGTTCTATATGTTTTGTTTTTGACATTTCTGTCAGTAGGATTAAAATCCAAATCAGGTTTAAATCGTAGAATTGTTTTAATGGCTTCCTTTGGTGCCCAATATGACTATTATAGATTTTCCCCCAACTGAGTTGTGCTTAAGTGGTGGAGAGTAAAAATGTACCTACATTTTTTTTTACAACTTAAGGTAAATATTCATGTTTAATGGAGTAGTCTAAACTACTAAAGTATGCTGTTAAAAAAAACAAGTGCCAAATTCTTCTTCTTCCTAGCTCAAACCAGATATTAAAAAAAAAGTTTTTGATAGTTTTACATTCTTATGCCTAATGTACACAGTACACTACCAAAATTTTAATGAAATCCAGATGACCGCTTTGTAAAAAAAATTATTTTTTTAACTTGACTGCGTAGAATTTGACATTTAAAAAGCTCAACTTTGGTATCAAAATCTACCGTTTGACGCGCCTTGTATATTTTCTCTTTGGTGCAAAAAATGCACAAAAAAAATTATGATAGACGTGTGCGACCATTTTTTTTTAAACCTAACACCTGAATTTGTTCCATATTTTAGCTGCTTACTGTATACAGGATGGCCCAGTGAAAACAGTTACTGCCAATTTTGGCCGCTTAATATCAGTTTTGCCAGAAACGCTCGAACAAAGCAATTTTAGCTTTGAGGGGGACGTCTAAATTAAATCATACTATATTGACATAACTTCAACCCTGAGAAGGGGGTGAATTGCACCCCAAAAATTTTAAATGGGAAAGGGTGGTAAACGTCAGATAGTTCGAAAGGCATGTCCATTGTTCATTCTGTTGTTATTTTTAAAATCCCAGAGAACACTCGATTTAAATGGATTTGCAAATTGCAGAGCCAACTTCCTAACAGTAACAATTATTGAAAATGACAAAAAAATGTAGGTGTCACCAGGGGAAAACTGGAACCACTGGGGAACAATGCGGTACCGGAGAAGTATCTGGATTGCGGAGAGGTGGAGTGCTTTCCTGGATTGGTTGTTGCAAAGAGGGAGTGGAAAACCTGGAGTTTTTGGTGGACAAAGCGCGAGGTAGCGCAGAGAAAGGGTTGCACAAAGTTATGAAGGAGATTAGTAAGAACAAACAAGTGGGTAAATATAAATAAGTACTAATATATGCCATAAATAATATATAAATAAAATATATGTATGTACATAAATAATACAATGTAAATTATGCCAACTCTTCTGCATTACAATTGGTAGACACATTACACTTACTACATGTAGCAGGAGTTTTGGAATTATCACGTTTAACCTCAAACAATCTTATAGACTTACAAAGTACAGAAACTTCCCTAATAAAGTATCCAATTCCTTCCGAAATTGGATCACATAAATCCCTCAGTGAGGTCGCTATATTGTAAATGAATATTATAGGCGGCTGCACGATTGCATTAAAAGCAGTAACAAGACATGGTTTCAAAAAGTAATCCGACATCAATTGTAGCATAGAAATAGTTAATGGTCGTATAATGGCGTGAAGAATCAATCTAAAAAGTCTGTTTTAGATTTTTATAAAATGAACCTTTTCAACCTAAAAAACTGTAAAATGAAGGATGTAATAAAAGCACATCCAATGTATAGTGTACCAAAAATTTCTGCCCAAAATTTCTTGGCGTAACTCTCAGTCTTTTCCGCCACTAACTCGGTTGTAATAGTCGGCGGCGAATCTGTCGTTTGATAATATCTGGAACGTAGAATTTTAAACCCAAACCAATTGAGGTCGGGGCTTACGCGGCATTTCCATGATCAAAATAGTAGACGTCCATCCTTGTTGGATTGGGTTTTGGTTTTTTGTGATTAACTCTTTGTTTATGTAAATTTTTGTACCAGTTTGGGTATTTCCATTTAGTAGTGTTCCGTGGTGTCACCACCACACCAGAATAGTTAGAATGTTGCACATTGCACCCCATTGGAGCATACTTGCATTTGATACCGTTTTTTTGTAAGTTCTCCCTAGCAATATGTTTGGTATTGGTTCCGGTGCTCGTAACGTGTTTTGGTACAACTTCAATTAAGTCAAACACTAACCTCTGAAACATTAATGTATGACTATTAGCAGATCTTTTCTCTTTTATTGCATTTAATTTGCTTTCTCATATACTTACTGTAGGTGGACTGCATTCGTCTTTCGTCTGTATATTTATTCTATACAATTCCTCAGGAGTGGAAGTATCTTTTCTGTCTTTTCCTACCCATTTTTCAAATAAATCGGGTAGCATAAACCTTTTCTCCTTACCATTATACACTTTTCGGTATGGCACTAAGACACTGGGCCTATTAAAAATGGTACTACTGTCTAAACCGTACCTTTAGAATTTACTGGAAATTGTGGCAAGGGTCCTTTAGAATGCAGACAAGGGCAATTAGTATTCGTACTATACAAAATCGGTGTCGGAATTCCCAACGATTTCTCACAAGACAGTTCTGTAATAGTGTTGCAAGATTCCGAACCGTGCGACACGAGTTCTAACGTATCATTTTGAGAATCACTCTGATGTCTCACCTGAGAAATACAAATAATCGCTAATCAAAAGTGTTACTATACTACAGCAGATCTGATGGACGGTGCTGATGAAATAAGCGACTCTTCGTTATCTGCGTCCAGGCTGCTTGAAGTATACCGAAAGTGCGGCGTATTCGTGTCAATAAAATCTATTATGTTATGCAGATCAAGCTTTAATCTGCTTTGGGGTACCGCAGCATCATTTTCTAGTTCAACTTGCGCTATAAATAACGTTTGAATAATAATGGTATGGTAAAGGTGATTTAATAAACCAAAATCTTCCGATGTAATGTTTACACCTCTGTTTTGTGTTCGGTTTACTTCACTCATGTTACATAATATTGGATGGGTATTTGACGTAGGTGTCAGCTGACATTTTTTTATTTCTAGTCACTAGATATTTGTAAGACTCGCATGATAATAGCGAGAGTAGAGTAGAGAGTAGATTATTTTAAGTGGAGGAGGGATGTCATAAAAGCCCTTTCGGCGGGTTCCAACCTATCAGCGAGTACTGGCGCTTTTTCAATAGTGTTCCTTAACGCTACCATTCCGCATTCTTTTTCATGATTACATTGCTGTATCACAACCTAAAGGTTTTTTTTAGCCATGAACCAAAAATAAAAACCTTATTTTTTGCGGTTTTGGAAATAGTAGGCCATGGGTTCATGGAGATTTTTTTTTAGTGTATCCATGGTAACTGAGACAGCCGATACCAAACAATAAAAATGGCTATCGGTAGAAACATGTTATTTCAAAATTTTGAAAAATATGACATAGGTAATATGATATACATTGTATTTTGTCCACTATGGCTATCTCGAGGACTTTAAGTGCTACGAGGTTGGTTAAATTAGCAAACAATTTCTATTTTGCGAGGCTACTTTAATCAGAAAGAAAAAAAAATTTCAACCAGTGGTTCACAAACTGTGGATATTAACTTTGTTATTTTAAATGGAACTAGATTTTTTTTATTTCCTTATTCGGTAGAAAATTTTATTCTGAATTCAGTGATATATTTGTGTACCCTTAGATAACAATTTTTTTGAGAAAAATGCATGTTAAGATATATTCCATTATAGCTAAAATAAGTGCAGTGCCATGGACGAAACAAGTTGATAATATGGATTCAGATTTTAAAGTGCTGTGACCGAAACAGTAGCACACTATGTTGTTTACAAATGTCAGTTGCTATTTTATAATTATTATTATTATCTGTGTAAATACTGAATAAGCTCAATTTAAATTTAATAAGTTGATATACTTATGCACTTATTTTAGCTATTTTAAAATAAAACTAATATTAATATAAACATGCCTTTTTCTCATAAAAATTGTTATCTAAGGGTATACAAATATTATATCACTGAATTCAAAATAAACTTCTCTTTCGAATAAGGAAATAAGAAAAATATAGTTCCATTCGTGAACTACAGGTTAAAAAATGTCTTCATGCTCATTAAAATAGAAACTGTTTACTAATTAATAAAACACAATGAGCATCTCTCTTAAAAGTCTAGGATGCTAATTGGGTTTTTGATGTAACATAATTATCTCTACACCCTATATGTCATGTGCAATACGAAAAATTTATGTATCGATAATTATAATGGGTTTTTACAATCACTATTAAGTCATTAAGAAATAGCCAATAGAAACAAAGGTTTATAATTTATTGCATGTTGCTAACCAACCAAATCATCCTGAACTTAGTGAACTAATGATAATGAGTGTTTAATTTTCATAAGCAAGGTGGGCATGAGGAAAAGCATAAATTATTCAGGGTGGGCATGCGCCCTCCTAGGGCTCCCTCTCTAGGCAATTAACATACACATACATAAAACAATGCAAACAAGTAAAAAATTTAATACATAGGAAGATGTAATTTACAATTACCTACTAATCTATTGTGCTTCTTAATTATTTTACTACTTATACAAAGCAATAGCTTATTTCAATGCAGCATTTTTATGGAAATAAATTATTTAGAATCTATATACTTTACCGTCGACTTCATATGCCTTGTAGACGTTAATCGTTTGAGGTATTAAATTCACTAGGTAAAAGTAGACTATACTATATAAATACATTTCTTCCTTAAAATAGATAATGAAAAATCTTAAGTGATGGTGACTTTTCTGTATAGATATGGATTCGTTCTGTGGCAATCTAGTACTAATTTTGTGAATGCAAGTTTCCCCATTGGCAACATGCTGTGAATTCGTTCCGTTGTCTGATTTTATATTAGTCGCAATGTGCACTTTCAGCAATAGACAGGCATTGCACCTATCAACCTCTTTAGAGCAAACAATATTCTTTAGATAAACGTGACCAACTCAACCTTAGTCTTCTAATTTGTGTCAATACGAATTTTTTATTTCGGCGTCACAATATAAATAATACGTCCTGTTCCCTCTCTTGAAGATTGTTAGTTTTGTGTATCCTGGTTGCTCTTTTCCCACGATTAACTTCATGTACAATTCAGCCTGTTTAATCAGTGCCTCTAAATAATTGCCAAAAAATTTTCTTATTATCTATGCACTTTATTACATCAATATGCGGTGTTGTTAATCTTAAACTTATCAGTTCAGTCTCAAATAACAAAAACAAAGCAAATTCTAACAAAACATTGTACAATTAAAAATCTCATTAAACATATTGAAAGTTGTCCTTATGCCTCAACAACGGTTGACATTCAACCCTTTTATCTAAGTCGTAGCTTGTCATCCAATCTTTAACTTCGGGTTTGACGAGACCAAAGCAGGTGCATTCCAAGAAGTCAATTAAATTCAGAAATGCCGTCCTGGAAAATGGACTCTTTCCGCGATTGTTTATGAAATGGCTGTATCTTCCTCTATTCATACGTTCGTTTGTTGTCATTCCCAAACAGAGAATCTAAAAATATTCACCCATTAGCCGTTGTTTTTTGTGAAACAGTTTTTACAAATTTGATTTCTGATTCTTCCGCACTTTTATGCTACTTCTTACTATCATCTAATTTTGTGCTCTTATGTTCGTAAATTTTTAACATGCCTGTATTCGATGTTTTAAAATTGGAACTTTTTCACTAAACTTCAGTTAAATGGCTTGACAAAGCCTTCAAGCTCAAATTAGGATTTGAACCAGAGAATTTGGTGATTTAGTTCACTATTACTGCTTTCCATTTGAGTGCGTGAAGCTCTGGTGCAGTTCGTTCGGAGCAGCTCATTTTGCAAGTTGTTCATTTTTAACACATTTGAATTGACATTCACAGTACGTAAATAACCACAAAAGTGTTACAAGCCCCAAGCAAAAAGGTGGTGCATGAGGGGACAAGGGAAATCCAATTTCGGGCGCGTCAGAGCTCGAAGCTTTCTTAAAAGGAACACAGGGCATCGTGCACGGTACAGCTTAGAGCTCCTCTTTCACTCAAATGGAAAGCGGCATATGTAGGTATATAAACTGCACACATTTTCCGGGGAAGTTTTAAAATAGCACAAAATAACACCAGTAAAAAATTTTCATTACCTGATACAATTGGCAGATGAAAAGCATGAAGACCCACGCCAAATGCAGCACAGAATTTGTTGCGACCCAAGCAACCCACGGATCGCAACGACCAATTTTCAATAAGACCTCGAAAAAACTGTCCTTCTTCGGTACAACATTACACTGATTCACCCAGTATTGAGATGTACCATACAGCATTTGACAGCACATGATAACTAAAGCGGCAAGAAATCCGAGGAAATATTTATGGTTCTTCGCCCCTGTAAATATGTGTATTAAAAACGTGCACCCTTCTTTTTTACGTACCTATGCAATTCGCGACCCACGGACAGTGATGGTCGAAACGGGCCACACATCTGTTGCACACGGAACAATGCTTCGAACGTATGGGTCGTTTTACTAAGCAAGCCGAACAAAAACTAGATGGCTCAAAACCGCCAGGTCCCCTTTCAGCTAATTCGATGATAGTCTGCAAAAGGTACAGACTTGTATATTTCCTTCACGTCGATTTTTCATAAGGTTGGCCTTGGAATTTTTTTTAGTGTATGTCGGAGTAATAAATGATATTATACAGTGCCCCACACCCCCCAGAACTACGCCCCCCTAACAAAATCATTCAAAAATTATCGTGAAAATGCTATCACCAATACTGATTGTGAAAGAAAGTAGTACAGGGGGATCTAGAACCCCCCCCCCCCTCTATAGAGAGAAATCCCCGGTAAAAGGAGGGCACGATTTCATGATAATAAATTCAAGAGATGGAATTGAATCGTCCTACACATTGAGAAGAGAGGGGTATTTTTTACGGGGGAGGAATCGTTCTACACATGGGTGGGGGGAGATTTTTTACTGGAGGGTTTTCCATATCCCCCCCATTTAAATCCAATAAATAAGTTAAATCCCCATATTTACACATAAATCCAATTAAATTCTGCTAAATAGAAAAAATATTAAACAATGGAAACGCGATATAGGTACTTGAAAAAATCTCCGTGATTTTTAGCGCTATCAAAAAAGGGTATAACATAGACGTCATGTGCTCTTTTTGGACTAAACTTAAAATGACCCGATTATAATTTAAAAATAATAATATGCCATGTTCAAAATTAGTATACGGGGTCAGCTGAAAAAGTTACTGGACATAATCTCATTTTAAAAATAGAACACCCTGTATATTTTAATCTAAAAAGATAGCATATTAATTTTTCTTTAATGTATTGAAAAATTTTTTGAATCTTTTTGAACCAATATTAGATTTATTTGAATCTCTTTACTGTTATATTTTTGGAAAGAGAATTTAATTATGCACCCTTTTTAAAATAAAATATATGGATGTTCCCTCAGAGTAAGAAATAAAGATAGAGTACGCGTATGCTATAACAACGTGAACGTTTGTTTTGAACCAACATCTCGCCGTTGAGAGGACGAAAATAAACATTAGTCAGTGGCGTAGGGTTTATTTATCCTTATGGGCAACAAAGTTTATGTTTTGTTTACATGTGCAAACGTAATAACGTATCACTAAATATTTATGATCAAAAGCTGTGTGTTTGAAAGGTCCCTATTGATCTATGATAAGGTATGGTGATACTTCAAAGTGGGAACTTAGAAGGAAATCTAAACACATTAAAATGCGAAAATTCCCGTATGCACGTCTATGACATCAAAACAAATACCGATGAAAGGTTATGTTAGAGTTAGGTAATTCAATAATTCCACAAATAATACAGCTTTTCCCCATTTCAAAGCGCTCCCATAAATTAATACACCATAAATCGAATAAGTCTTGCACTATAAAAACGCCTAAAAATTAAGGAATCACGTTTTAACCAAATAAACAAAATACCTCTCAACTAAAAACAAAGTTACAGCGTTGCCGATGTGGTGCACTAATCACCATAACTTTTCTTGTTACGCCGTTTTATTGTACGTTAAAATTGTTTTGGTTACTGAACTCGTATAAGCATCTAAAAATCCATTTAGATTACTCCAGATGCATATGTTATTATTATTCCCTTAAAAACTATCTCGTGAAATGTGACAACTTAGCGTCCTGCAATGTTAGTAAACAAACGAGATGATGGCACGCATAGATAAGCATCAAGGCATCTCTATCTTTATTTCTTACTCTGAGGGCTTTACCAGTGACATTTTCCTAAAAATGGTTCCGGGCCTGGCAACTGTTTCGTCGGTAACAAATAAAGATGGGTTTGTAGCTATCCGTTTCATTTATTTACAACGGAAGACCATGACCATACGTATTATGATCGCACACCCATATAGGATGAGGATCCTTTGACAAAGTAATTATAAACTAACAACGAGACGACCGTTACTCGTTAGATAAATGCAAGAAACGCACTCTCAAAAACACAAAAGACAAGCATGAACGATATCCGCTAGTGTCACTAATCGAATCGAATGAATAGGGAAAGAGGAAAGCTGCTCATGCTGTGTCTAACATATCTACAATGCCGAACCACAGAATACAACACGTGATCATACATCGTTGCCACACACAGTGTGACTCGAGTAACGGAGTCATGTTCAGAGGAAGAGTTGGTACAACGTAAACTCCAACATTACTACTTACCATAGTTAGGTAAACAGCATAAAAAAATACACAAACACAGTAACAAAGTTGGAGTTGCCGTATGAAAAGTTCAACTTGAACCAACTTTTCCGGTACAAACGGACGACGTAAGATTTAAAAATTTACTGTCTCCTGATTGGTTAACGGGCCGGCGGAAACGTACAAACGCACACGGTCCGGATCGTGACAAACGGATAGCTATAAACCCACCTTTAACGTGACCTTAACGTCCTTAACAGTGACAAATAACAAATGACTGATCAATCGCCGCGATAAAATCACAGGTCGTGAAATCACAACCCATCTCTATAGTGGCAGAGAGTTGCGCGCACAGACCATCAGTCGCACGTTTATAATCCGATTTTATTTTTATTAATCGGTAAGTTTTTTGAGTAAAAAACGCGAAATTGTTATATTTCCTTGTATTATGTGACCGATTGTGCACTATATTTTTGCTGTCTCAAATTATTTTCCGTGAGTAACTGTTGTTTTGTTTTTAAGGTTAGAAGATGGGACGTTACGCTAAAGAACCAGAAGTGGCTCCAAAAACATGCAAGGCGAGAGGATCAAACCTTCGTGTACACTTTAAGGTAGGTTAATTAGACTACTGTTCGAGCGAGATATTGTAAAATATGCTTGGTTTATGTTTTATAATTGGAGATTTATCGTAATTATAATAAAACCAAACACGATATCATATGATTTATTCTGGTCAACTCACCAGTGGCGTAACATAGGTACATATCTATAACATGCCCCTTTTTTTTAACTGAGTATAAGTAACTTACAACTATTGATAAACAAAATCCTTAAATCTAAATGGTTTAATGTTACGTTTGGGCCTGTCCGATTCATTCATATTTAACGACTTTTTAGGTGTTAGGACACTGGAAATTTCATCGGATGGATCAACATGTAGGGATCTTTTTGGAGTTAGAACACAGGATGCTGGCTTTTCCTTATTCATTTGATTTTTTGCTCCTTCGGAATACAGGATGTTCGCATTTCCTTATGAATCAGATTTTCCTCCTTTTCCAAATCTTGTATAGATGTTGCCCTATCTTTTAAATTCACTCTATCACGGACATATTTTGTTCCTCCGGTATCAATCTCATAGGCTCTTTCTGTTAGCTGGCGACTAACTGTAGCGGGTTGCCATCGTTTATCTGTATCAGGTTTGAGTTGGACCTGTACCCCCTCGCCTATATTAAGCTGTGGGAGATCCTTCCCCTTTTTGTCGTAATAATATTTATTGTAGCGTCTATGTTTTTCTATCAACGCAGGAACCTGTTCTGGAACTTTAGGTACATATTTCGAAACATTTGACGGTATTCCTGTTCTGGTAGGTCGTGACATCAACCTTTCAACAGGACTATATCCTATTTTGTTGGGAGTGTTCCTGTGATGCAGAAGCACCCACCAGAGCTCTTCATCACTTTGCTCCGATTTTATTAAATTCTTAGCTATCTTAACAGCTGCTTCGGCTTTACCGTTACCTTGTTGATGATAAGGAGCCGACGTTACATGTTTAAATTGATATTTCTCCGCAAATTCCTTCATAGTTTTATTAACAAAATGAGTACCGTTGTCACTACAACACACGGCTGGAACACCATATCTACTGAAGTTTTCTTTAAGAGCATCAATTATTGACTTTGGCGTTAAGTCTTTTAGAAAAGATAACTCGAAGTACCTAGTCCGAATAATGGTCTACAATCACCAATATTTTTCGTGGCTTCTTTTCATAATCAACAAAAAATACGTCCAGCGATATGCTTTGCCAAGGAAAAATAGGAATACTGTGTGACATCATAGGTAAGTGTGTTTGTGATGCTGAAAACTTAACACATATATTACAGTTTTGAACCTTTTCTCTAATCTGAGAAGTCATATTAGGCCAAAATAAATTTCTTTTCGCTAAATTTAGAGTATTTTCAACACCATTATGAGCGACATGAACTTTATCTATCATTAACTTACGTAGACTAAATGGAATGAAAATCCTATCGTTTCTAAAAATTAATCCGTCTTGCACAGTAAATCGATCATGAAATTGATAGTAATGGATAGAGGGCACCTTAATGTTAACTTCTTCGTCTACTAAAATTCTGTGTTTAACGTCTATATTAACAGTAATGTAATAAAAGTAGTATAATGTAATAAAAGTAGTATAACAGGTATAATATACAATCCAATTTTAGGTTTTGTTCGACCAATAAGAGACACTTCCATGTTACTTGTGGATACACTTTAATAACACCACTTTTTAAAGCGTATACAGCCTAACCTCTTGAATGCATTAGAGAAGAAGGATACATATTGCATGTGGCACAGATCGACATCTCTGTATCGATCACCGAGAGGGGAAACCCGGGCACTTCCTGCATGTTTCATATACCAATTTGTTCGTATTGACTGCCGATTCATTTTAAACGCCCTTTCCATATGAATCGCTGCTTAGCAATATCTCTTGTAGAAAATTACTTACACGCTATTCTGGTATAATTAAAAACTAGTATATCAGTTTCACATTTATTAAATCGTTGAAAAATAACATAACCTCTTAAGAAATTAAAGTTGGCACACCACTACCAACTGAAAATGAAATTTGGAGTAATATAACTAATATAATTCAACGTTAAACTTTAATGAAAATGATATTATTGATTACAAGATTGAGCGTTATTACATGTGACAGTTACGGTAAAAATTCTAATCTTTCTAAATGTGAGGAGACATAAGTATGGAGGACTTCGTGTCGACGCCACTGAGCGGCGGTTACTCCCCTCCTATTTGTGTACTTGACTCACAAGTAGTTAGCTTCAGTTCATTAGTTGTGTATAATGGTTGTTTTATTTTTTACATCATTAATCAGAGTTTATTGATTACATTACTTATTAAATAGTGGCGATATATGCGTTTTTGTGTTGTGCTGGCGCTAAGGCCATTCCAAATCCAGATCCAACAGGTTACGGGCTGAAGCACGCGTTGGTATACTTAGTTGCTGGCCGACACGTGTTCGTGTACATTCATCAGAATTAAATGTAAGTAAAAAGTTTGGCTTCAGAGTTCAGATGCGTGTTAAAATGTTTAGGAATGTAAGACGTTTTCCTTGGGCATTGTGTTTGTGCCAAATGTGCATAAAAATGGCGACCCTTTACACGGTAAAGGAAAGGCAAATACGCAATAATTCAGAGTCTTACGGAAACCATATCAGTAATCAGATGCATTATTTATAAAATGTTTCTAGGTATATACAGAAGTAAATTTTCAGATGTTCATTGAATCTTTTCAGAGGGCACGTTTTTTTTCGGTACACTCACAATGCCAAAGCGATACACGCCGACGAAGTGGGAGAGAGAGAGAAAGATCCCACGTGGCGACTCGCTACAAGATCTTTTTAAAGCGTTGCTATTTTAATTACTTTATCATCTCTGCGCTTTTTTTTTTGCAGTTTTAGCTTTTTTATGCGTAACTGGGGCCGTTGCGAATCAGATTTGTACATATGTACACAAATTATTCAGAAGTATGCAGCGGTTGCCCATTGTTGTTCAAATTTTTTTGATCGTTGAACAAATCAGAAGTACATAAACAGAAACACGTTTTGACATATTGGAAATGATGTAATGAAATTGCGGTGCTTTGGATTTGCATTATTTCGTTTTTTTAAGCAGTGGGTTTACGTGAACTCTCGGCCGTGCACCCACGTGCGTGCGGCCCTCTTGCGCCATTAAGTTAGTTGCGGTGCTAACTGACTTAGAGCGGGAGGGAGCGTGTGTGTGCTGCGGGGACAAGCGGGACACTGTTCGCTTTTGCGTTTTTTTTTTGACTTGCGGTGCAGTCAAAATAAGCGGAAGCAAAGTATCAAAAAATCATGAATTCATGTATATTAATAAATGAAATGTTTGGTTTTTGTCAGAGGCTAAAATGCCGAATCAGAGTGCTAATGGGGAGCGCCCGGAGCAGATCACGGGACACTACGGGCAGAATGATGCTGTGTCGAGCCCTTCGTCTAGCCGTTTCTCAGGTAAACTGTTTCTGTATCAGAATACAAACCTTTCATATAAATGACACCAGATCTGGTGGTATTTCATTTTCTCTAAACCCAATAAAGTAAATGGAATTCAGAGGTTAAAATCCAAACATTAATTCAGAATATTTGTTTGTTCATACAGAAGATGGGAGCCATACACCACCTGGTTACCCAAATTATCATCAGATTGCATCAAGTGAGCGCAGGCTGCGCGACGATATGCGCGATGCTATCTCTAAAATCTGTCAGATTTATGGAGAGCAAAAGAAGGCAACAGAGGCTTTAACGAATGTAGTTACTTCTTTGGCCGAGTCTGTGAAGACACTCCATCACATACGTTCAGAGACAAATGGTGTGCCTTTACTGAATTCTACTTTCAGAGAATACCCAATTCAAAGTAATTCAGAAGTATCACTTACAAATCAAAACCAGACAGGCGTATTGGGTGAACTCAGCCAGACGTGCAAGGATCTCAGACGGACTTTAGATTCAAATAGTAATTCCAGATTTTCAATTAAAAGAAATTATAAATTAACCCAAAAAGTGCCCTTGAATGTCTGGTACGACTACCTAAATTCAGAATTGAGTGCGTATGATGTTTTAAACGTCATAAATGAAAATCCTTCTCAGACAAAATTTTATAGTTCAGAAGAATTACAGAGACGAAAACACGTAGTCAGAGATATAATAATAAATCACGTTGATGAACATTATCACAAAAGAATTTTAAATATCAGAGAACCCATTGAGATTTTAAAAAAATTAAAAGAAATCAGAAAAGCAGAAGCGAATCTCAATGCTTCTTCGGTCAGAGCCAAATTATATAACATTAAAATGTCAACTAAAGAGAGCATAAACTCCTTTTATGATCGTTTTATGGCGATTATACAAGAATATGAGACATGCGAATCAGAAATACCTTTGTCTGAGGAGGAGAAACGATCTGCTTTTTATCGGGCAGTGTCAGATGTAAATAAAACTTTAAGTACGGTTAATTTCACAAAACGCCAGTCCTCAGATGTTGATATGACTATTGACGAAATAAAAACATACATACTGCAAATGGAATCAGAAAAAAATAATTCAGAAGAGAAAAAACCAAAAGTACAGTTAGCACAGGGAAAGAATGACGATGGCTATGGCGAGCAAAAGTGTTTTAGATGCAAGAAATGGGGACACAAAAGTGGTAGCTGCCCTCTTACTCAGTATAACCTCTGGTATTGTTTTTATTGCCAAAAGGTGACTGATCACAAGGGGACCAGTGACGAATGTCCGTGCAAAGGCAATCCTAAAGATGGGTATGTAAAATCAGATAATAATAAAAGCAACTCACACCCTAATGTTCACTCTACAAAAAAAGAGTTTAGAGGTTATAATAAAAGTAGAGGTAAAGGCACATTCAGAGGTAATGGTCGCGTCTATAAACGAACTACCAAACCAGAAACTCCTGGTCGAGCCAAACGTCTGCAGGACAAAGCAAAAGCTTATAACGCAGGTAACAACTTACTTACTAATTCTTCAGATGTTAACTTAACTTTCATTGCCGATTCTGGCGCAACTGATCATATAATAAATAAGAGTATGTACTTGCATAACTTTAAGAAAAGTTCAGGTGAAACAATCAGAAGTGCAAATAAAAACAAATGTGCTAATATTACTATTGATGGCAGAGGTAATTTATTCTTAAAGTCGAATATTAATAAAAATGAGATAATCAAATTATCTAATGTAATTGCTGCCAGTAACATTTCAGAGAATCTCATTTCCCTTAGACGTTTTGTTGACTTAGGATTGGGCATTATTTTAGACAACGAAAAATTGATTGTTTTTGATAAAAATTCGGGTTCAGAGTATTTAAAAGGAAACTACGACAAACCCAATTGGATAATCTCTTTAAAAGTAGATGATCAAGGGAAAAATTCAGATAAGCAACATGAAAATCAGATTTATTCATGCAAAGCCCTTATAGGTACGCTAGACGAGCTCCTTGAACAATCTCAGTCGGATATTATGGACATTAATCAGAGCAATGAGTCAGAAAATTTAGAGAATCCTGCTGAGATTGGGAGGGAGAAGTCGCATGATCTCGTCCAAGATGAAAGTCATACAGTTTCAGATGATTTAAGTTCAGATTTTACCAAGTTTAAAACATTAAATGAAAATATAATTGACCTCAATAAACAGCACCCCTCAGAAGTACTAAATGTGTTAAAAAAAGTAAAACAAATAAATTCAGTAAACAACACCAAAGCTCAGATTAGTGAAGGAATGCTTTGGCATATCAAATTGGGCCATGCCTCAGTAGAGTATCTCAAAAAATTACAAAAATCAGAAACTAAACTGCGTAATATCAAATTTGATGAATCTATTTTAGACTGTGAGGCTTGTGTCATGGCCAAAATGCAAAATCAATCTTACTCGGAAGTCAGAATCAGAGCAAATAGACCCTTGGCCAGAATTCATACAGATGTTATGGGGCCTATAAAACCAGAGTCGCATCCTGGAGGCAATAATTATGTTATAGTTT